AAAATTGCATCTAGCGAATAAAGTAAAGAATGATCATATCTTTTACCATCGGCTAAAAATGCGAGTGTTTTTAGCGACACAAGTTTTGTCAGATTCGGTAGCAGACGCAATTGAATTCTGTAGAGATGTGTTAAAACATCCTGACTTTATTAACTCATCTGGAACCTGTCCAAGTTGATCTTGTTCAAAAATTAGTAGGAAGGAAGAATCCCTCAGCTCATTATTGTTATCAATATTTTATAAACAATATTTTTTTAAATAAAAAATTTGGCCTTTTTTGAATATATATTGTAAGTGAAAAAAATAATTAGAACATTATAGATGACAATCTAATCTTGTCAGCTTGGGAAAATTGATTTTAAATTTTCAATAATTGAAGAATGACTAAGTTAGAGTGTAACAAAAACTGGGCTTTCCAAAATATGGTCTTCCTTTTTTCTTCAAAATTAATGGAGATATTTAATCCTTTAAAATGTTATTGATTTTGCAGATTTGAATTTTAGAAATCCTGAGACTAGTGTTTATGTGTCAGAAGTTAATACTGGAAATATACTAATTTGTGTTTACTGAATAATGCCTTGTGGAACAAAGACAATTAAGAAGTTAAGACTTGATTTCCATGTTTATTGGGACACCCGAATATGGCTATAATGTTAACCATAGACTGGAAGGGGGGGGGGGGTTAACGCCTCCCCATCACCTCTCATTGCAACCCTATACCTGAACTCTAAGGCTGTACATAGATTCAGACCCCCCCTCCAGCCTTTATAGGATTAAGCTGAAGAAAAAATATGAATCATTCCTGCTGTATACTTTATAGTCCTGCGTAACTTTCAAGGGTGGGTGGCATTTATAGTGTTATTCTTAGTAGAAGGGGCTTCGCCCCCCCCCCCACCTTCTTACTCTTAGTCAAAAATATATTTATTATTTTGAATCCTCAGTGTTATTTATGTTAAAGCCTTTAAAAAGGTCGGGGGCAACGATAATTAAGCTATCTTTGAAATAAAGTTTAAACATTGAAAACTACACAGGGGAATTAAACGAACCGCCCCCCCCCCTTCTAAAATTCAGTGGAGTATAACTGTTTGGCTAAATAAGAAAGGAATTATGCAAGAGCTGGTCCAGGGACCATTGTCTGCTAGAACTCCAATGTACTGCATAACACCCCACCCAGAAAATTACATCGAAACTCGTCTATGATCCATCCATTCTATTATATATCCGTGGGTCAAACGAGCCAATATGTATGGGTTAACTTTCCATGTCAATCTCAAACGCGTATATATATCGGCGCATTTTAAACATTTATTGAACCTCGGATAACCCAAATTGATCTTTCTTTTGAGAATATTATAAAACTTATACCTCCTAATATAATCCTGTTTTAGTTTGAATTTTTCTACCAATCTTTTGTTTGCTCTAGCATATCCATATCGTTGCATATCTCAAACCTTATTAACTGTAATTCTAGCTATGAATTAATAGCCAAAATAATTGTAAAATAAAATACCTTTTTTGTTTATAAATAGTAATAATATATTTAAAATGCTGTGAAACTAACTATGTTTACGAAAATAAAAAAAAATATTTTGTTTAAAAAAAAATTGTACAGCTTCTGGCAAATTCAAGGTAGTACTCAATCTATCTCCCTCCCCTTCAGACGTAGACCTTCTTCTGGCTGCCCCCTGCATGGTTTAAGAACTTTGAATACTTAAAATCAAAACAACTTCCCCTATATACTCCCCAGTAATTTCCCTTTAGGGCATTAAGAGAAGATTAGGAAAAGAATTTGAAACCAGACTCTACTCAAAGATTAGAAACGCCCTAAAGCGTATTGTGACTGAATGTTTCGCTACTGGCGTTGCCCTAGTTTGTATAAAGATAATACCGTGTTGAACTCCTTTGAACCGAACCGTAAGCACTCCGTTGCTCAATCCTCCTCATGTTGATATCTAGTTTATAATCACATTTTATTAAACCTTACCTGAGAATTGGTTTAGTTGAGTTTCTATGAAATATTTTAACAACAAACTCTGAAGCACAAGTCAGAAATATCTTGGTTAAAATAACATTTATTTGATTAGTTTACCGGTTTTTGAAAATAAATAGTTGTTTCTATTATTTTATTATAAACATAACAAAATTTCAGAGGTGAATTTAAATGTCTAAAGGTTTTGCATTAAATTTTCTTATTTTTAAATTTGATTATTGATATTGTTTACATTTAGCAAGAAAGTTTATTTTATGCTGATTTACTGGTGATGCTTTGCGATATCATAACTTCTTCAAATTTTATTCATTAAATTTTTAAAATTTTATTATTATCAGTCTCTATTAATTGTTGAACAGTAGAATTTCTATAACACTTATTTATTCTCATCAAGATTTCACAAATGATTTTAAACCTAAATATTCTCATCAAGATTTCACAAATGATTTTAAACCTAAATAACCGAAACTTTAATATAATTTTGATCGCCAAATCAAAGTAATCCTAGAAACTCTGCTAATATTGATCCTCTTTGGATAAAATAATCCCTCTTTTTTTGTATACTCTCTGAATAAAAATAATAAATTTGTACAACTACTTTACAAGATAGTTAATGGAATATTACTTTTGAAAAGAAAATTGGTCGAGGGAACCCGTAATTAAGTAAAAATTTTAATTTCCCGAAAAAGAAGTTGTACAAAATATAATCGTCTTTTGAGATGAAAATGCGCAAATGTTTTCTCGAAAATTTTACAGAGCGGGTGGTTTTAAAATACCTTAACCTCCCTAGATTGGGGTAATGCTAGCTCGGTAATGTTGTTACAAAGACGGGAAAAAGATAAAATATTATTCCTCAGGTAGGTATGGATTCCAGTGCAGGTTGTTGATTGGAGTTGAATGTGCAGGATAAGTCATCAAGAACTAAAACAAATATGCAATAGTAGAAATAAATCTGAACCGAAGGAAATATGAAATGGAAATTCATATACATGGATGTAACAAAAAGGAAAAGTTTTTATAAACGATGCTCTCTTACTTTACACTTGCAGGATCCAAGCCGGTACAACATGAATATACATTCACTCGTACTGTCCAGTCTTGGCTACCAAGTGCAAGAGTCGAACAAGTACGTTTTAAAAACCTAGAAAGGTCACAGTATTCTGTACTACTTACAGGGTTACCTATAAAGAATGAGACTAACCCCGGAGAGGAATACTGTGTAGTAGATAGATGTACTATTTCCTCCTCTGTACTATATATATACCTGGGAGGAATACTGTAGTAGCTAGATGTACTATTCCAGCTCCTCTTTACTATATATATATACCTGGGAGGAATACTGTGTAGTAGCTAGGTGTACTATTCCAGCTCCTCTGTACTATATATATACCTGGAAGGAATACTGTGAAGTAGCTAGGTGTACTATTCCAGCTCCTTTGTACTGTATATATACATGAGAGGAATACTGTGTAGTAGCTAGATGTACTATTCAAGCTCCTCTGTACTATATATATATATCTGGGAGGAATACTGTGTAGTAGCTAGGTGTACTATTCCCTCCTCTGTACTATATATATACCTGGGAGGAATACTGTGTAGTAGCTAGATGTACTATTCCAGCTCCTCTGTACTATATATATATATACCTGGGAGGAATACTGTGTAGTAGCTAGGTGTACTATTCCCTCCTCTGTACTGTATATATACCTGGGAGGAATACTGTGTAGTAGCTAGATGTACTATTCCCTCCTATGTACTGTATATATAAATACCTGGGAGGAATACTGTGTAGTAGCTAGGTACACTATTCCAGCTCCTCTGTACTATATATATATATACATGGGAGGAATACTGTGTAGTAGCTAGGTGTACTATTCCCTCCTCTGTACTATATATATACCTGAGAGGAATACTGTGTAGTAGCTAGGTGCACTATTCCAGCTCCTCTGTACTATATATATACATGGGAGGAATACTGTGTAGTAGCTAGGTGTACTATTCCCTCCTCTGTACTATATATATACCTGGAAGAAATACTGTGTAGTAGCTAGGTGTACTATTCCCTCCTCTGTACTGTATACATACATGGGAGGAATACTGTGTAGTAGCTAGGTGTACTATTCCCTCCTCTGCACTATATATATACCTGGGAGGAATACTGTGTAGTAGCTAGGTGTACTATTCCCTCCTCTGTACCAACCAAGAATAAGGTTTCATCATCAGGTTTAAAAGTTAATGCTCTAGGGTATAAAATGGTAAATATAGCAGCGAGAGGGGACCGAATTTTGTTAATTGGAGCTACGTCACTGAACTACCTACCGCCGGTTCAAATCCTGAATCACCAAATAAACAGTTGAATATATTCATAAGGATTTGAACCGGTCGTAGTAGTTGAGCGACCTCGCCAATTCATTAAATTCGGTCTAGGGTTACCTAGACAAAGAATTAAAATCTGATGACGACCTTGAGATCTTTGAATATTTATCGACTTCAGTTGATTTTAGATTATATTGTTCTAAATCAAGTTTTGCTTGGAAACCAAAATTTCTGTTTAGAAATCAAGGGCTGCTCAACTTAGAATTCTTAACACAAGCTAAAACATATTCGTGGTTCAAAATCAAAATCTTATTCAAATTTTGGTCCAGGGTTCATCAGTTATGCCACAACAAACATAGAAGTTTTTGTATAACTTTTACACAGTTTTATATCAATTTCTCGAGACAGGGAAATCAAATAGAACTAGTATTGGTCGTGATCAACTCCTAAATTGTTCAGGCTTCCGCCTAAACCCCCTTTTTAGTTTAGTTTAACAGTCCCTTTAATATGATTATCTTTTTTCTGTTAAGTACCTGCCACTGTCCATTAGTTGGTTGGACGAATTATCAGAATTGACAAGTCCCTTACTAAAGTTTATCTTCAACTCGTCATTAAACCATAATTTCGTCTTTACTATTGTCCAGTTCGTCACTCGTCCGTCACCGGCGACTAAAGAACATATAATTCGTGGGCTAAAAAACGTTTTAAGAACAGTGACTGTAAAGTGATGACACTCCACTTGTAGAGGTTATTCGAAGTTACACTCCACTTGTAGAGGTTACTCGAGGTTACACTCCAGTTGTAGAGGTTACTCGAGGTTACACTCCATTTGTAGAGGTTACTCGAGGTTTCACTCCACTTATAGAGGTTACTCGAGATTACACTCTACTTCTAAAGGTTACTCGAGGTTACACTCCACTTGTAAAATCTTTAGAGAACAAGAGCTATATTTACAGAATAATTGCCAAATTATCTGCCTTAAAGTGATTAATGAATACAGAAGTAAAAGTTGAGATATCTATCTAGATTATTTATTAATGGTTGAGTAAAGAATATTTGAATAAAAGTTGAGATATCTATCTAGATTATTTATGTATGGTTGAGTAAAGAATATTTGAATAAAAGTTGAGATATTTATCTAGATTATTTATTTATGGTTGAGTATAGAATTTTTGAATAAAAGTTGAGATATCTGTCTAGATTCTTTATTTATGGTTGAGTAAAAAAAATTTGAGTAAAAGTTGAGATATCTGTCTAGATTCTTTATTTATGGTTGAGTAAAGAATATTTGAGTAAAAGTTGAGATATCTGTCTAGATTCTTTATTTATGGTTGAGTAATGAATATTTGAGTAAATGTTGAAATATCTGTCTAGATTCTTTATTTATGGTTGAGTATAGAATATTTGAATAAAAGTTGAGATATCTATCTAGATTATTTATTTATGGATGAGTATAGAATACCTGAATAAAAGTTGAGATATCTATCTAGATAATTTATTTATGGTTGAGTATAGAATATTTGAATAAAAGTTGAGATATCTGTCTAGATTCTTTATTTAGGTTGAGTATAGAATACCTGAATACAAGTTTAGGTATTTGTCCAGATTATTTATAGATCATAAATTATCTAACTATGATTAAGTAAAGAATACCTGAGTAAAAGTTAAGATATTCGTCCAGATTATTTATAGATCATACATTATCTAACTATTAAGTAAAGAATACCTGAGTAAAAGTTAAGATATCCGTCCAGATTATCTTTAACCCACTTCACTTGCCAAACTACTTCTTTATGTTTCCCTGAGAAAAAATATGTAGCTACTTCAAAAAATGACAAATAAAAATAAGATCCAGGGAGCCTATAAAACAGCTCTCATAAATCCATGGCAAAGGAATTTTCTGGTGTTCTTTCATACTTTAACTTGTAATACAGCAATACAAGTTTCTTCTCAATTTTACAAAAGAGTACAAAAAATTTCTGTTAAGTGATTATCCCCCAACTTTTACCAACCAAAAAACACCAACGCCAAAAAAGAGAAGAAAAGGCAAAAAATAATAATTTTAAACTCTGCCTATAGTCGATCATAAAGTTGGTTTCCAAGAAGGTCAGGTTTATCCCAAAATAAAAAACGACAAGGCAAGAATGTTTTTATTAAGTTAGATATACCGTTGTGTGGATGGGAGAGGTAGGATGGTTTCCCTTGTTTAGTTTGAAGATTATACACAGCAACATTACCATCATAAAGGCCAGCAACTACCATATGAGGATGTTGAGGGTGGATGTCAACACACATTACTCCAACATCGGCCTCGCATACAAACTCAGGATAGGATGGATTCTAAATAAAAATCAGGGTAGGACGGATTCAAAATGTAAACTCAGGGTAGGACGGATTCAAAATATAAACTCAGGGTAGGACGGATTCTGAATACAATTACAGGGTAGGACGGATTCAAAATATTAACTCAGGGTAGGAAAGATTCTGAATATAATCTCAAGGTAGGACGGATTCTGAATACAATTACATGGTAGGACTGATTCTGGATACAATTACAGGGTAGGACGGATTCTGAATACAATTACAGGGTAGGACGGATTCTGAATACAGTTACAGGGTAGAACGGATTCTACCATTAGAGGACTGGAATGAGACCTGTGTGTATTTTGCACCTATAGAAAGCGTAAATTTACATGAAAATTGCAAGTTGTCTGTGTAAAATCCCTGTGTGTGTATCATATTTACACTTAATAACTTGCATATCATATAAATGTAAATTGTAAATCCTCTGTTTAAAGGATCCTTGTGTAAAATATTTACTTCATATTACTTTTTGTAAATGTAAATGTTAATCCTCTGTATAGGACGGATTTCAAATATAAACTCAGTGTAGGACGGATTTTAAACAAATTAAGTGACGGAATAAGAATTTTTAGTCCTTGTTGACTTTAATCTTTTACTTTACCTTAAGAGAGAATAGACAGATATATCCTGAAATATTTTGATTGTAGAAATCGTAGGAACCGAACCCTGCTGCAAACAGATCAGTGTAGCGGAAATTCCAGCACAAAGCTGTAACCTAGGACAGTTATAAATAGTTATCGTCCAGTTTACAGGGAAGTTATGGAAATTCTATTTTATTCATCGGATAAAATTTCTCATGTGAAATTGTTTCAGTAATATTAAGAAAAAAATACAAATACTTTTTGACATATGCATTTCTATCTAATAAACTAACAAAGTGTATTTTTATTAAAATGCTTTAATAGTTTGAATTTATGTTCAATTATTTGTTGCAACTGTAAGTTTTGGAATGAACTTAAATCTTTACAAGGAATCTCCTCTTATCCAGCTAGAAGAATTTAAATACTTAATGATATCAATTTTCTTTAAAACTTAATTCTGAAAAAAAATGTTTTACTTATTAAACAGTGATTTTTACTAAGCCTTGTGTTTTATGAATCATTTTGAACAAATTTAGTACTTTTGAATTTTTTTAAACTTCAAAATTTAAAACTGAAATACAAATTTAAGAAAATGGAATTGAATTAAAACCAGAATGGCAATAATTATTATAATGCGACGAAATGCAGAAACATAATACAGGGTCACCTTTAAAAGATGAGACTGCGAAGACGACCCAAAACTCTATAAATAACGATTTGAAGCTTGATTTTTTGTTTCTGCATTCAATTGAGTATTTTAGTGGTTTGCTTAATGAGTCATCACAGAAATAAGCAAGGTTTGGCCATGGGGAACCCTGAATGCAAGAAAACTGACTAAACCAATTCCGTACAATTCCGCTTGTCTCTGAAGTCTCATCCTTTGTGGGTATCTCTTTATGTTAAAGTACTAAAATAGCGTTAGAGAATACATTTTTTGATATATTTTTACATTCATGCGAATATCAAATTTTTCTTAAAAGATAATAAAGTTCTTTTTCGGTTTAAATATTTAAATATGAACTGCATGGTATTTTCTTACCTAAATAGCATTGCCTAAAACTATCTACAGTAGGTTATTACGTTGGATTGAAGTCTTGTTCAATCAAGACTTTATTTAGTTAAGAGTAGGTTTACATTTGTAAAGGTTATGTAGCTCTGATATTTATGTAAACAATATTCACAGTACATAACCTAGACAGACAAAACTATTTATGTTAAGAGTAACACTACCAATAAGATCAGAAACTGTTGATATAAAAGATTAAGGTTTAGTTTGGGAAGAACATGAACCAGTGAGAATATTTTACAATCGCACATGCTACTTGTTCCTCCAGAACTAGGAAAATTAAAAGACCTTATGATCTACGAATATTGTAGAATATTGAATATTGTACAAAAAGGATAAAATTAAATAAACATAGTATGGAGATATCAGTTTGAAGAGAACAAAACCCAGTAATAATAAATTGTTACTTTATCACTGAGATATGTTAATCCTAAACTAATATCAAGTAAAGCAAGTGATATCTCCAAGCTACTGATGGCTCTGACTGATCTTGGAGAACTGAAGATAATCAGGATTTGTTGAAGTTATATACTGGTCCTGCTGGTAACCCATGGCTTATAATGTTGCCGGTCAACCGATATATATCAACACTGGTGCTTACCCCCCGTCCCATTGGCTTCTAACCCCTCCCCGGGATCAGCAACCACCTCTGCCAGAGAAAACGATCATGTAAGCCCGGGGNGGCCTATACCCCCTTTCATTTTTCGCGAACACTCCCTTTAAATAAAAAAATATGAAATCATTGATTTTAAAGATTTGTCTTTCTCTGCTACCCCAGCAAAAATATTTTGGCTTATAAACTCACTGTGATTTAAAAGTCTCAAGCTCCTAAAATAAATCGATGAAAATTTTGCCAATTGCTTCTTAAAAACCAAAGTTAACAACAATGCTAAAATGTACATGTATTAAGGGCTACAGAAAAGTGATTAAGAGGGTCAAAATCAAAGCCTAAAGTCGACACATGTCTTAAAAATTTATGAGACTTTTCAGAAGCAGGCTGAACCTATGTGTTAATAAAAAGTTATGCAAACAAATGTCATTAATTTCTCAAGGTTTTGAAAATAATTCAAAATTTTAATAAATATATTTTGGCATTAAAGCGTGAAGATAAACTATCATGATTAATCCACGAAAAATACAAAGGTAGTTTTGTTACAGGGTCGTTTTGTTGCATTGGGAATTTTGTAATTAGGAGTTCATCCCTGACTGGACTAACCAGGGTGAGATACATTCTTTTATTTGAACTCAATCACGTGTTTTTTTCTATAATTCAACAATCTATAAACGTAAGGAGTTGTCTTTTTAACTTTTTGGTTTAAAACGCACAAAGTTACTCCCGCCGTTTTACGATTACAATTTTTGATAATATGGCCAGCGTTGCCTGTGAAAGTTAAAAAAAATTTTAGCCGGGGTACCTATACATGGGTTCACTAAAAAAATCTGCCAATTTGGTCCAACCGTTGGGCCAGCTAGTAAACATAAAAACATTTATATATAATAAAGAGCGAAGAGCTAAATTATTTAGTACTGCAAACTAAACTGAAGGTCAAATTTATGCGACTTTACTGAAGTGACTGTGTGACCTTGTAGCTCCTATAGCTTGATCAAATTTATCTGGTTACATATAAGAAGTTCAATACATCTTTGATTATCTCAGTAGCACTTTAATAAGAAGGGTTATGAAAGAAAACATACAGGGTGTCCTAAAAAACATGGGAATTCAGTGACGAATTAGATATTGTCTTTGTTATGAATTAGCATTGTAATACCTAATTTCAAAAGCCATAATATTATTATGTCTGCTAGAGTTTATTTTATGAAAAGGGTAAAAGACATGTAAAGATGTGTCTATAATGTCTCCGCATAATGAACAGTGAAGACGGATAAGTTTACTGTTTGAATACTGTAATTTTCTTGTTTTACTAAGTACAACCGTATGCAGTCAAAACATAAACAAAAAAAATGTGAACATAGCTGACGAAACTCTTACAGATTACAGCTTTCTCAGTAGGTATCACTATACTAAATCAAAGAATCATTAAAAAAGACGATATTAGATTCGTCACTGAATTCCCATGTTTATTGGGACACCCTGTATAAGATAGCAATCTCACCTTTACTTTATCTAAGTTTATATGATATAAGCGGTTGAACTAAATAATCGTTCTGACCAGTAAAAAAATCATACAAAACTTGAAAATCAAGATATGAAAAAAGACTTTTTGCCTATATAACATGCATATTTTCTTAAATATTTGACAATGGTATAGACCCCTGTAAACTGCCATGTATTTAAAATTAACAATTGTTAACTTTTTATATCTAAAAGACCTGAAGACGTAGTTTTAAGTGACCTCCATGGATGTGCAAGACTATAATCCATGTTTCTCTTTTTAAATATTATTTTTAATTGTGGTTTCTCCTTGAAAGCTACTTTCAGATTTCTACTTAGAGAGACAATGGCGTTAGTTGCCAGAATTAACCACTTTTTAAGCCTTAAAAAACCACGATAACTATAACACAGTAAATTATATAACAGTTTAAAGGGAACCTGAATCGGGTCCGCCAGAAGGTTAACTGAAATAACACATGACAGTCTCCTGAATACCTCTCCATTTTTCCCGCCATGCAGTTAGGCCAATTTTATTATATTGAAACTGCAGGGGGAAATATTCTATTATCAGTTTAATTAAAATCTACATTGGGTTTATTATGAAAATAGATCATCGAAGATTCTCGAACACGTCATTTTGATATATTATTAAGAATTTTTTGATACATCATTTAGAAGATTTTAATATATTTTTAGAAAATTTGATATTTTATTTAGAAGTTTCCAGATTCAAAAAGCTATTATTTGGTTATAAAATATTTTATATGTGAGGCATTTATAAAAAAAATGTTTATGATGCAAAGTAATATCAAGGATTTTTAATGAACATTTTTTTAAATACTTTGTATATCCATGAAAATAGATTCAGGCAAAAATATTCATCAATGTAAATGTGGAATCTTTCTTTGGTCTTACCTGAGTTCTGTGTCATCGTGTATATCATAATGTACATATATTTATACCAATAAATTGATAGATCTTTGTAGATTATAAATTATGTTAAAAAATTGAGGTCATTTTAGGTATTCAGACCAATTTAATGGTAAAAAATCTGATATTTCAAAAATTTTAAAGCTGCCATGATTATTAATTAACGGGGTGAGGTGAGAGGGCAGGGGGTAATAATTCCAGTAATTAGGGGAATTAAGAAAAATGTAAAAAAGGGGGATGGCGGTCAATTGGCGTAAGAAATGTATTATACACTGACCGCTGGCTGTTATATAATTACCAGGATCTATTATTTACTCCATCAATCCTAAAGCTCTCTCCGGTATCAACACTTACAAGGATTGCTCTCAAGGTACTATTCTCTTCTGTTTAAACTATGACAATCTGTAATCAACCTTTGATATTTTAAACTATTTGATCGAACAGAATTCATAATGTGAAATATCAAAGGTGTACCGACATTGGTTTGTAAGTAAGAGTTTTTGACAAAACTCAGTTTGATTAAATTTTGCATGGTCTATATTTTCCAATAATAATTCAGAAAAAGATATGATTGACAAATGTACTATTTCAACTATTATTTTCATCTACTTTACAGGGAAGTTAAGGAAATTTTGTTTTTGTTAAAACCAAATATGTTTAGGCAAAATTGGTCGAGTAAAATGTTTAATTTCTCGAAAAAATAGTTGAACACATTTTTATCGACTTTTGAGATGAAAATGCGCGAATTTTTTATCACAATTGGGGAATCATGGGTCTGTAATCTTGGTCAATTTTGTTTTACGAAAATCTAAATTTTTTGGAGGTAATTTTTTTAATTCTAAGCATCCGTTACCTTCCTTGGGTTGCCTCTAAAATTGAAGGTTCGATCGGTTCACAAACAAACAAACAGAGAAGCAAAGTATATATATATTATATATAGATTTGACTAATATTGTTTAGGTATGGGAAAGTATAAGGATTGTGAATATAAGCTGCAGGGTTGGGACGGATACCAATGTGGGTTCTGCGGAGCCGAATTCAAAACTAGAAACAAAATGACCCAACACCAGGTTTACATTCTAGATCCATTTCTTTTCATCCTAGATCTTCCCAGGAACTAGATTCTTGATTTTTTATTCTAGATCTTAGATTTATAACTTTTCACCCTAGATCTTCCTAGAACCTAGATTCATAAATTTTCATTCTAGATCTTCCTAGAACCTAGATTTATAACTTTTCATCCTAGAACCTAGATTCATAAATTTTCATTCTAGATCTTCCTAGAACCTAGATTCATGAATTTTCATTCTAGATCTTCCTAGCACCTAGATTCATAACTTTTCATTCTAGATCTTCCTAGAACCCAGATTCATAAATTTTCATCCTAGATCTTTCTGGAACCTAGATTCAAAACTTGTTATCCTAGATCTTCCTAGAACCTAGATTAATAGCTTTTTATCCTAGATCCTAGATGAATTTTACTAGGCTTTTATGGTGCTTCACGCCATTCTTCTATTTCAATTGTGACCATTTTCTCTTTGTATGGAATGTGAAACAAAACAAAAACAAAATTCGTAGATTTTCAAAATTTTCAAAAATCGAATTTTGATACTGGCAAATTTTTGAAAATTCAATCATCCATAATCACCATGAGGTGCCACAAAAAATTTGGGCCCGATCGTTTCACCCGTTTTGACGTTGATTGGTTAAAAACAAACAGACAGAAAACCAAACAGACACCCAATCAAAGTGTGTATATAGAATACATAGTATATATATATATTTTTCTTTAGATTGCGTACCATATGGCGGAATTGACGATGCAAAGTTGTAAACTTGTGCCGGATACCAGGACGCGGCAAGAATCACCACGAATCACCTGAGCCGAACGATTGTGATAATTTAATTAAATAGTTTTTCAGTTTTAAATGAAGACATTCCGAAAAATGCTTCTCCACAGAATTTCTTCTGGAATTTTGTGTAGCTTAAGACTTCCACTTCCTGTACATCCTTTAAATCATCTCTGGATTGTTCGGTAGGTTGACCCATCCATAGTCCCGAAACAAAACCTTCAAGCTTAGTCCTGTTATTTTCAGGCTTAATTTTCCCAGATTAAATCTTGAAGTTACTCTAATAATTACCTAAAATGGCCATCCTAGAGTCTGAGTGCTTTTATTTAAGCTTAATGAAATTATCATTTAAAGCCTTTAGAAATAAAAATTGATTTAAAATATAATTTTTAATATTAAGATTAAGAAGTTCTTTTTAAAAATAAAAATAACATAAACTATAAACGCCATCAGGTTCCCTTGATTTGCAGTTTCCTAAATAAATAAAAGAAAATGAGAAATTATTTAGACACAATTATTGAAAAATTAATAAACTTAAGGATAATAAACATCCAAACTAAAAAACATCCAAAATAAAATGAAAATGAAATAAAATTCAGTTAGTCTTTGATGTTAGCAAGCAGTTTATTATGTGTTCTAGATTCGACCCTTCAGGTAGAGCAGTTCATTCGCTTGCTGAACCGTATTCTTAGTTAGCTAAAATAAAGTTAAGTTTTTGAATCAAGACTCAAAGTTATATTGAGAGTAGAGTAGCCAAAACCATAACAAACCAAGAACAGGGTTATATTGAGAGTAGAGTAGCCAAAACCATAACAAACCAAGAACAGGGTTATATTGAGAGTAGAGTAGCCAAAACCATAACAAACCAAGAACAGGGTTATATTGAGAGTAGAGTAGCCAAAACCATAACAAACCAAGAACAGGGTTATATTGAGAGTAGAGTAGCCAAAACCATAACAAACCAAGAACAGGGTTATATTGAGAGTAGAGTAGCCAAAACCATAACAAACCAAGAACAGGGTTATATTGAGAGTAGAGTAGCCAAAACCATAACAAACCAAGAACAGGGTTATATTGAGAGTAGAGTAGCCAAAACCATAACAAACCAAGAACAGGGTTATATTGAGAGTAGAGTAGCCAAAACCATAACAAACCAAGAACAGGGTTATATTGAGAGTAGAGTAGCCAAAACCATAACAAACCAAGAACAGGGTTATATTGAGAGTAGAGTAGCCAAAACCATAACAAACCAAGAACAGGGTTATATTGAGAGTAGAGTAGCCAAAACCATAACAAACCAAGAACAGGGTTATATTGAGAGTAGAGTAGCCAAAACCATAACAAACCAAGAACAGGGTTATATTGAGAGTAGAGTAGCCAAAACCATAACAAACCAAGAACAGGGTTATATTGAGAGTAGAGTAGCCAAAACCATAACAAACCAAGAACAGGGTTATATTGAGAGTAGAGTAGCCAAAACCATAACAAACCAAGAACAGGGTTATATTGAGAGTAGAGTAGCCAAAACCATAACAAACCAAGAACAGGGTTATATTGAGAGTAGAGTAGCCAAAACCATAACAAACCAAGAACAGGGTTATATTGAGAGTAGAGTAGCCAAAACCATAACAAACCAAGAACAGGGTTATATTGAGAGTAGAGTAGCCAAAACCATAACAAACCAAGAACAGGGTTATATTGAGAGTAGAGTAGCCAAAACCATAACAAACCAAGAACAGGGTTATATTGAGAGTAGAGTAGCCAAAACCATAACAAACCAAGAACAGGGTTATATTGAGAGTAGAGTAGCCAAAACCATAACAAACCAAGAACAGGGTTATATTGAGAGTAGAGTAGCCAAAACCATAACAAACCAAGAACAGGGTTATATTGAGAGTAGAGTAGCCAAAACCATAACAAACCAAGAACAGGGTTATATTGAGAGTAGAGTAGCCAAAACCATAACAAACCAAGAACAGGGTTATATTGAGAGTAGAGTAGCCAAAACCATAACAAACCAAGAACAGGGTTATATTGAGAGTAGAGTAGCCAAAACCATAACNTTTTAACCTTCTTCAGTTTGAACGATGAATTAACAATTAAATCAAAAACCACAAAAAAAAATTAAAAATTGTAAAGTGAGATGAAAAAGATTAATTATTCATATAATAAAAAGGCAAGGAAGTAAGATTTTGCCACAAAGTCTTGCAAACTGATGTTTAGTTTTTTTATATTTCGAACTATAAGTTCAGTTGGATCAAATAACTTAAGCTTAGAATAAATAGTTTTCCCCATTAGGTTGCAAAGATAGAGGGATTAGAACAGTTGAGTGTGTGGCAAAAACTCAGTTTTACTATTTAAAAATGTTTATAAGGAATTAGCATTCCTTCTTACTATTTCTGCGTGATAATTCAAAGTTGTTGTCTTTGTATTTTATTCTATCCAAAGATTGTTAGAAATTGTTACTGTAAAGAAATGAAAAAAATCCATAAAGAGATAGAAATACAATAGCAACTCTTTATATTTATTATGGCCTGAGGCACAACTTAAAGGGACGGTGAATGTAATTTATTGTGAACCTTAATTGATAGAGTGGATTGTCAGATTCACAACCGTACCTATAAAAACTATGTCTTCCGATCGGGCCCAAATTTTTTGGACGATTTCGTGTTGATCCGTTTCTATAGCACCATGCAAAGTAACCTATATGTCCCCCAGGATGAGATTTCAGAGACGACTGTAGGGAATGCATTCTGTCTCTTTTCTTACATTCACAATTTTCTTACATTCAAATGGTTGTACTTAAAGGGAGTGGCCGGTTGTGTAAGCTATGTAGTTGAACTTAGTATGCAGTGTTGGTGAAAACTTCTTTCTGATTAATTTGAGACATTTAAAACATTTTAAAGATCTATAAATCTGCAAATTCGACATTCAAAACTCCCACTTTAAGGGTGGATAGTTTTCTAAAATTATTAAATAACGACGACATAAAATGTAAAAAAAATCTACAGTAAACTAATTATTTGTTTAGGAACAGGATGAGTTTCTATTTTCTCATTATTCGGTTTTTCATTATTCACAAAGATTTTTTGCAGATTTACTTGAATACTATTGAAAAGACAACATTTGAAGAAATCTGCGAATAAATTCAAAGAAAATAAGAAATTCAATATAATGGTGAAAACGATAAAATCGATTCTAGCATTAATTTATTGAAAAATTTCTTTTGAGAAATATGTTCCTAACCATCTAATAAGATTACTGTATAATTTTTACTTTATTTATCGTCGTCGTTATTTAATAATTAAAAAGAAACTAATTCTGAAAATGTATCCACCCCCAAAGTAGGAGTTCTTAACGTCGATTTTGCGCTCAAACTCAGGATTTACAGATCTTTAAAAAGTTTAAAATGTCTCAAATGAAACCGAAAGAAGTTTTCCACAACACTACATACTCAGTTCAACTACCTTACATAGCCGGTCACTCCCTTTAAAGAGTTTCTCATCCTTTGTGGGTAATCTTGTATTTTAGAAGAGATTCATCATACAAAGAAAGGATATTAAAGGTCTACGACGTCTGGTTGCAAAAATATAGTGATCAAAATAATAGAGTTTCTTGCTAGTTGGGTTGGAGAAGAATTGAATCTAGGTTAAAGTTGGTTTGGAGAAGAATTGAATCTAGGTAAGAGTTGGTTCGGAAAAGGTTCCATCCTAGTGTAAAGTTGGTTTGGAGAAGAATTGAATCTAGGTTAAAGTTGGTTTGGAGAAGAATTGAATCTAGGTAAGAGTTGGTTCGGAAAAGGTTCCATCCTAGTATAAAGTTGTTTTAGAGAAGGATTTAACTGGGTTTGGAGCTGATTTATAGTTGTGATATTTTTCAACCTACGCATATCCTCTCTATTGCACTTCTGACCTACTTGCAAATGGGTTTCCAGCTGCTTTTTAGCTGCTGTAGGTCTATTAAACTATAGGTCAGTTGCATCTTAATTCAATTTATAAAAACCTTCTCCACAGGGTTTGGAGACTTTCCACAGGGTTCGGATATTTTACCCCTTGGTTCATGGCTGCTTGGGCTTCGTCCCCTCATTATAACTATGGCCGTTATTTGTGTCATTGCTTGTAAGATGAAAAACTCTCAAAAGCCTTCTTACAAGAAATTTACCTGCGCTTTACATTTTAAATTCCAGCTTACAGGAATCTGAGTACCCTGGTTACCGTTTCGGTTTCAGTTAGGAAAGGTCTCTTCTGATATATACATGTCTGAAGGAGTCAATGTTGTGTAACCTACTTTACAGTTTACCATGTGAAATTCTTGCATGATATAATACTCCCGATGCGCTCCTGTGTAAGTAAATGTCGTCTCCTAAGATAGATAGATAAAACCCTAATATGACTTAACTCTTGCCTCTTCAGTGACGTCATATTAGGTTTGTTATCTATCTCAGGAGACAACATTTGCGTACATTGGAGCGGATCAAGAGTAAAAGGATTCAGATCCATTATACAGTGTTCCTCCTCCCATTTTAACTGTCGCTGTTTTTTGTTGTCATTGCTCGTATGATGAAAAAATCTGAAAAGCCTTCTTACTGGAAATTTACCTGTGCTATACATTTGAAAACTTAAAATCCAGCTTACTGGAATCTGAGTACCCAGGGCTTGCCCGTTCAGGTTTCAGTTAGAAAGGTCTTTTGTGATATATACATGGCTGTTTGAGAGTCAATGTAACCCCCATGATCTAATTCTGATAATTGTAAAAATTTGTATAGCTTAGAGAACTAGAGAATCTATGAGGTCACAAAGTCGTACTATAGACATGTTGCATATAGTTCACCTCCTCCTTTGTTTAGTTCAAATAATGTTAGGAATACTAAAATGTCTCAGATATTCCTAACATTGTGTTTATAATTTGTAATTGTAACTTCAAAATTTTTTTTTTTAACCTGTAAAGATTACCTCAAGCTCATTTGCTTTTTCAAACCAGAATTTCCACAAAGGAAGAAGAGTCCCCTCGTTATCCTAGATTAAAAATATTACTTGGTCTGTCAAGAAATTGATTCTTTTTCACAAATTATATTTGGTAGACCTGAGCTAATTCAAACTTTGAAATGTGTTAAAACAATTAATCTAAATTTGAAATATTTACACCATCAGGCAGAAAACATATCGGTTTTGAAAATCTGAGTTTGAGATAAAGGAGGGGAGGAAGGGCAACCAAAACAATTTCTCGTCCGAGCCACATTCTCTTCATGTTCTCGTCCGAGCCCCCTCGAAATCCTCGTCCATTCAATATTGTTTTTTTTCAGTGTCTAATCCTTCCAGATAAAACTATTTTTAAAGAATCGGGCCACGTTAGGGCATAAATGGAATATAAAATTTTTGTAAATTGAAAAAAAAGTTTCAATTGAATTAAAGATTTCAAGTTTAATGTTTTATAACTTAAAAACGGCTGACATTAGAACGCTAAAAGTTTTTCACCTTTTTAACTTCACGTTCCAACAAATCAGAAATTGTTAATAACTGTTTCATAAATTAACCCTTTTCAGGCTGCATCTGGTTTACCCAAAATATTCCCTCTATTTCCTTAATGTGATACAAATCTATAATATTTGATACATTTTTGGAAAGCCCTTGCGCTCTACTCAAATAATCTACAAAATTTGAAAATTTGCAAAATTTCAAATATTTATTGCAATATCAAGTTATTAAGCAAAATTTGTGCAATAACAAAAAGTGCGCCAAATATGAAATATTATACATTTTTATATAGCCCTTGCCACGGAAAATTCAAATATGCAAAAAAATTGCAAAATTTTCTAAAACTAAAGGAACTGAGTTTTTGCCACAAACTCAAAAAGTCTAATCCCTATATTTCTACTATCTAAAGATGTTAACCTTTGATATTTCAAACTATGATTATTTGATCTAACATAATTCAAAGTTTGAAATATCAAAGGTCTACAGCATCGGGTTCCAAAGATATAGTGATTAGAAAATAAAAGTTTGTGGCCAAAACTCAATTCCTTTGAATTCAAGAAAAACCGAAAATGTGCAAATTCTCTTTAAAGACATGTGATAGTTAGAAAAGTCAAAAATTTGAACAGCTTTTCGAGTTATCTTCAAAAAACGTCAGGGGGGGGGGGTCCCCCAGCCAAAACAAAATATTTATTTTTAAACATTTTTCCGTCGTACTTTTTGAACTTTTTAAAATCCTTCCTTGCACCCTAACCAATGTAACCATCTATCTTTTTTTTAATTAGCAGGCCTTGAAAAGTTGGACTAGGGACATTTATCACACTCCCCTATATCAACTCTAAGGGCAATATTATATGGGGATGGGAAACACCCCTCTCCCCCAATCTCATCTTTATTGCACAAAAATAGCCCAATCGGGATGGGGTTAAATATCGATGATTTCATTAAGTAAAGATTTATATTTCTATATTTATATTAAATAATTATATCATTTGAATATAAAGGACTACCTGACTGTATTTGAATATAAAGGACTACATTGACTGTATATTATAAAGCTACCTTGACTGTATATCAATATAAAGGACCACCTTGACTTTATTTGAATATAAAGGACTACCTTGACTGTATATCAATATAAAGGACTACCTTGACTGTATCTGAATGAAGTTTTCTTTTCTCTGGTTTTTGATCTGCATTCTGCAACGAAATTTTAGTTTATTAAAAAACTATTCTAATATTTGAACCATATTGCATGTGCAACAAAACCCAAATGCAATTGTGGCAAATGTTTCCCGTTGTGTGGTTTTTATTTCAGTTCCATTTGAAAACTAAAACGTTTCCTTTTTCATTTTTTCTGTATCTTCTTCCTTTTCCTTCATTTTCTCGTACATATCATACTGCTCGTAGATAACCCATTGATTGACAGTCTCACAGAAGTTAGACCTACAAATATAGTTTAACCCAGAAATTCAGAGAAATCGAACAAAAGAATTGAGTCTTTGGAACAAAATCCAATATTTAAACCTCAATATCTTTAAAACTCTATGTTGTAAACCTTTGATATTTCAAACTCAGATTATTTGATCTAGCAGAATTCTTAGTTTGAAATATCTAAGGTCTGCAACATTTGGTTCAAAAGATATAGTGATTAGAAATTAGACAATCAGAGTTTGTGACAAAAACTCAATTCCTTTATAAAATGTCGTTTTCTAATTCCTATTGATAATGGAATCATGATAATTAGTTTTTAATTCAATAATTGTATGAAGCCCTTTAAAGCTGTTCCCACATATTTCATGGCTATTTATTTATTTTTATTATTGTAATTGTAAAGACGACATTCTATAAAATTTTCCAATTGCTCCGAAATTCTAAAATAAACTGTAAAATCGGCAAAATCGTTATAAAAAGTATTGTTATGAAAATGTTTCACTTAGTCATCTACAATGTACATGAGTAAAGTAAGAAGTTTCGTTTTTTTTGTATTTTGTTGTTGTAAGGATATTTTTTTTGAAGGGTTTTCAGGATAACTTTTAGTTGCTTTTAATCTATTAAATTAAAATTCGACGTAATTTTAAGTTCCCTTTATCCCTTTATTTTAACTATTTCACTCCCGAGTCTACAGGGTACTCCACAAACCTTTGTCGGATTAGCGGTCAAGGAAGATATCGTTGTTTATCTAGAAAAGAGCAATTTTGTAAATTTTCTTACGTCCTCCTTATACTTCAAAAATTCACCTCTGCAGAGAAACTGACATTAAAATTGATAAATTTTCAATAAAAAAAGAAAAATAACTCCATCAAAGGTTTAAATACAGGGCAACGTCCCAAGACGGACTTGTAACTATGTTAATAAAGGGTCACAAGTTATTATGTGGACAGTCCCTTTACTCTAAATGTGTCTATACAACGATTTACAAAATCAGCCTTTAGATCGTATTTTAAAATTTTGATAACTGAGCTTTGTATCTATATAAAGGAGAATTATCAGCGGGATGATAGTTTTCTACCTGTGTGCTCAGTTAGCTGTACTGTACACTTACAAACGTTTACTAATATTTATATACTATAGGTTAAGCCAGAATCTCCTTATAATAAACATATATGCAGTACGCTCTCGGTATGGTTGATGGCCTTTACAATTAGTAAAGGATTAGCGTACATTATCACTCTGTACACTATAACCTCGTTAAGAATTATCAAAGTTATAATGCTAAATAGAAAAATTGATCAAATATTACCTTGTATATAACATGTTACAAATATGATAAATAACCACCCTTGATTTCTATTCAGATCGTTTTAAGCACTTAAATGCTGTGCAAATATATCTGCAGCGGGAAAAAATGAAACCTCCAATAACGTGAATCTGATTCATCTGATTCAGAGAGCCATAGAATAATAACAAACCAGATCGCTTGATTTCGTTTTAAAGATGTAAGGTTTTTTCGTTCACAATAACCCTGAGGCAGAAGCCCTAAGGGGTTACGCGCATGCTCTCTCTCTGTCTTGTAATTCAACTCAGCATGCGCTTAACTCCTTTGGCTTCGTCCATAGGGTTATTGTGAACGAAAACCCCCTAAATCTAGTTCATCTAGTGTCTGTGTCTTATCTGTATTGTTATTATTCTATGCATAAAACAAATATATTTGATGGAAAATATTATGTTGGATTTCTCGAAATGAGATGAACTATCAATATAAAATTTTTTGTGAGGAAGGGGGGGGATAATGGACATATTTTATTTTACCTGGGAGGTGGCTCTGTCTGCATTTCAGTATGTGTAATTCCACTATTTAAGGTTTGGGTTGCTCGCTCTAAAATATTCATAAAATGAAGTTAGCAAAAGAACAACCTTAAAAAACCTAGAAATGTTTTGAAAAGTTTAAGGTTTCCTACAATGCGACTTTAGAGATTTTTTTCTCGCTTTTTTCTTAAATTAAAGGTTTTAATTAATCCTACCGATTTAAACTTGCTTTTTCATTGCCTACAAAGATAAGACTGCATCAAAAACTAAATAAGATATTTTGATTGAAAGAAATATGAGTTTCAGTTCGACATTAAAGTCAAATTCTTTAGGTTTAAACCTTTCTCTGACCTACAGTGATAACCATAAAACAATGGAATAGGTAGCCGACATTATACAGTTTATCCCACATGTTAAACTTGACAGACCTATATTTTGAACTGGTTTATTAGACTAGAATATGTTCAACTTGACGGACCTATATTCTTGAACTGGTTTGCTAGACTAGAATATGTTCAACTTGACGGACCTATATTCTTGAACTGGTTTGCTAGACTAGATGGAACGTGTTCAACTTGTTCTTCTTCTTCCTCAGAATCTCTTCTCTTCTTCTTCCTCTTCTTCTTCTCCTGTTCCCAATCTAAATACAGTAGTCTATAGAATATAAAGCGATTTTTAGATAATTTTGAAGAACAGTCCATTTGTAGTTATGAATGCTAACTAAACGGCAGCAAAGGCACTATTTTTTTTAATTATGTCGGCTTTTTTTTTACTTCATTCTGTCGACCATTGTAAACCAAAATGTTTCTTTTCATCTGCCTCTAAACCTCCAAGAAACAGCAAAAGTTCTTATTTTCAGATTTGCAAAAGCAAACTGAATTACTGGTCAACCAAGTCGACTTAAAGGGAGTGTTGGCAAAAATAGATGGACGTACGTATGGATCATACACTATATGAGTTCTAGGGTTTCGAAACGTTTCGCGAAAAAATTCGAAAATTTTAGTTCGTATTACGCAAACTTTTTTTGCGAAAAGGAATGGAGCAAAAAATGCGAAAACGAAAGAAAATTTCGCGAACATTTTTTCGCATTTCGCGAAAATTTCAGCGAAAACATATGGCGTTGTAACAATTAATTGAGCAAAAAAATCTTTTTTGCATTATATTTTTCGCGAAATTTTCGCATTTTTTATTTCGCGAAAAGTTTGCATTTTTTCGCGAAATGATTTTCCTTTTTCGCTGGAAACCCTAATATAAACCGAATGATCATCAGTGATATCCCAATCATTTAACCTGTCCAAATTAACTATTTAAAAAATTAGAAAACTTTAAATGTTTTTAGACGTCGTTCCTAGAAATTTCCATTTTTTCTTTCTTTGCAACGAACTTGAATTTCTAGTTAAACTACAATAAATGATACTGCCTACTGCCAAGTGTGAATCCAAAAATATCCTTAAAAAAATCATGACATGAAAGTATTAATGGCGAATATATATTCATTTTTAATTGTAAATTTCACGAAAATATCGATCTACTTACCAAGAATAGATTTAGGTTCACCGTAGAGTTTTATCTGCTCTTTAGCCTCAGCAGATTCTTTGTGCAAAACTCTGCTCTCAATATCTGCTTAGCAGATCATGGTAATATAGGCCGGACTCAACTTTCAATATCTGCTTAGAGCAGATCTTGTTTATATAGGACTCTACTCTAAGTATTAAAAGTTGTGTTAAAGTTTTTGGCCGCAAAGTTTTCTTAACTTTTGGAAAAAAGAAAAATGAAGCTTCAAGTCTTCTTCAATTATTTATTTATTATGTAATAACTAAATTATGCAAAATGAAATTTGAATCTTCTAATTATGATTAAATCCTACTTCGCAAAAAGAAAAAGGGCTAACGTGACAATAATAAAATTTAGAATTCATGTCTGTTTATAAAAATCAAATATGTCTACTCTAAACTTTTGAGTTTAGTTTACTTCATATTTTTCCATTTTGCGCATTATCATTCTTTTTAGTCTGTCCTTCTAGCTCATTAACCGACTTAATACATAAAAACTCTCTAAAGTGTTTTCACAATAAAGTATGAAAATGCTAAATCAAGTATATCTAAATATATATATATATCAGAATTTTGCATTTATCAAATTAATACTAAATCACGTTGAACTTGGAGAATATGCATTTTTTGACATATTTAACTTGACCTTACCCACGTTTTAATATTTGTCATCAATCACGTGCTTAAAGGGAGTGTTCTCGAAAAAGGAAGTGGGGTAAAAGCTAATATCGAATAGAATTTGATTAGAAGAAGATGATTGTTAGAAACGAATCATAATAAAGGACGGACGGACGGACGGACGGACGGACGGACGGAGTTGCATTATTCCACTCAGATCGTAGATAATTTAGTTAGATTTAAAACTGATCATGCAGATATTACAAATTATAAATGTCGAATTTAGTTCAAAGCATTCTTATGTAGTTTAAATTTCATAATATTTTTAATTTTTGAGAACGATTTTTTCCCGCTGGTTAAAACCCCTGAAATATTGAGAGCAGTTAATTAAAGTTTATGATATTTAAACTATTTCGGAATTCAACATTTATAACTTGTAATCTCTGTTTGTTTACTTTTAAATTAAATTGAATTATCTACGGTAACATAATGCACCTCCACCGCTCTTCGGTATGAAACGTTTTTAACCATTTTCTCCTTATTACATTGGCAAAAGATAGAAGTAAAATAGTAGCCATAGATATCGAGTTCAATTCGATATCAGCGTAAACCCCCTTTTAAATTTTTCACGAATACTCCCTGAAAAAGTGTAGTGCATATCAATAATAATTATCTATATTTGTCTAGCTTCAAATAATATCAAAGTCGGGTTCAATTTTGCTGGGTGGTTTATGAATTATGGCTGCAGCGCAAAATTTAAAGATGCGATAAAAAATATTAACAATTTACAAAATTAAAAAGTACATATATTGTAAAATCAGAAATGAAATGTTTCAATGAAGGCCAATTATTCTTTTTATAAAAGATTAAAAAAATATGAAACTTGAATATTCGATGCTTAAAAAAGCCCGGCTGCCACAAATTTTTAAAAAACAATTGTAATTTTTTGTTTCGGTAACATTTGTTAAAACTTTTGACTTGTCATTATTAGATAAACTGGTTTTTAAATATATAAGAATATCAAGAAGAATTTACCAGGTTAAATAGAAATATGGTTTAGACCTTAACAGAGATCTAGATTTAATGATTAGCGAGACATGGTTAAACCCAGTAGACGGGGTAAATCACTTCACTTCAGCTTGAACCAGCGCGCAAGAAAGGGGGTTGAACTACATCTGAGCGGTTCAGCTACTTCTGGCTATTTGTGAATTGTGATCCTGTCTCCAAATTATAATTTATGTTATGATAAGAATGACAGCAAAAAAAATAATTCTGCCAGAACTGTTTTATCGTAGACACTGTTTTGACTCAGCATTAGATTTTAAATTTTCATTAGATTCTGTATTATGCATTTTTTTTCAGACATTTCTACCCTTTTTATTTTCATTGAAACCTATCGTACTCTTATGTGAGAAAATAAAAGACATTCTGGTTATTTCAGCCTGGACTGTAGACGCGGTATTTCAGCCTGGACTGTAGAAGAGGTATTTCAGCCTGGACAGTGGACGCGGTATTTCAGCCTGAACTGCAGACGTGGTATTTCAGCCTGGACAGTAGACGCGGTTTTTCAGCCTGGACTGTAGACGCGGTATTTCAGCCTGGACTGTAGACGAGGTATTTCAGCCTGGACTGTAGACGCGGTATTTCAGCCTGGACTGTAGACGCGGTATTTCCGCCTGGACTGTAGACGAGGTATTTCAGCCTGGACTGTAGACGCGGTATTTCAGCCTGAACTGTAGAGGCGGTATTTCAGCCTGAATTGTAGACGCGGTATTTCAGCCTGGACAGTAGACGCAGTATTTTAGCCTGAACTGTAGACACGGTATTTCAGCCTGGACTGTAGACGCGGTATTTCAGCCTGGACTGTAGACGCGGTATTTCAGCCTGTACTGCAGACGTGGTATTTCAGCCTGGATGGTATTTCAGCCTGAACTGTAGACGTGGTATTTCAGCCTGGACTGTAGACGCGGTATTTCAGCCTGAACTTAGACGCGGTATTTGAGCCTGGATTGTAGACGCGGTATTTCAGCCTGAACTGTAGACGCGGTATTTCAGCCTGGACAGTAGACGCGGTATTTCAGCCTGGACTGTAGACGCGGTATTTCAGCCTGGACTGTAGACGCGGTATTTCAGCCTGAACTGTAGATGCGGTATTTCAAGTTTTCTCTATTTTAAGAGTGACATGTCCGATTCACAACGGTTATCTTAAAAACTTTGTCTGATCAAGAATGAAATATACATAGCCATGTTTCTGTTTTTAAAAATTGATTATTCACACTTGTTGATTCTCTAGTATAGGGACGATGGATGGATGAATTATAAGAATTAAACACTTTTTACGCCATTATCTTCCACAGTATTGTTCTGATTAAGGTCTCAAGGATACCGCGGTGTGAATTTGACATGCCATTTTTATTATTGAGGGTCACATTTAATTACATGATAATCCATTTAATTACAACTCAGATTAAATTGTTTTCTATTTTACTGATCTGATTTCCTAGATGGTCTATTAATGTTTCAATCATTGTTACAGGCATGAAGGAACGTGTGGTGTAGCTCCATCTACATATATATATTCGGTAGGAGTAGGAGTAGGAGTAGGAGTAAGAGTAGGAGTAGTAGTAGGAGTAGGAGTAGGAGTAGAAGNGGACTCCTCATCAGACCTAGATATCATAAAGACAATGACAAAAAAATCTAAATCAAAATGAGATTAGCAAAAAAGTCTTAATTTCTCGCACAAAGAAAGTCTGGAGAAAAAATTCATTAATGAATACCGCAAATTATATTTAAGAAAATAAAGACTTTTGATTTTGCTAACTGGATTTTATGCTTAAATCTTTAGCATGGTGTATGATGTATTATGTATGCATTGTATTTTTCATTATTTTTCACGATTTGTCAATTAATTAATAATAAATATTTCGTAATTATTTATCATTTATAGCATGAATGGAATGTTCTAGTTCAATCCAACATTATGATGTGAAATTCCGTAGATCTGGTTAAATCTAGAAATTAATAGAAGTTTCGAGAGGGGGCGGGATGTTACATGATGATTTAGCAATATTAAAAACAAGATTTATATTAGCAGTGGTTCCTAAAAAAAAAGTATAAAACATTTGTTTGATTAATTTAACTGGGTAAAAATGTTATAATAATTATGTAAATTGTAACAGTTTAGGGTGACACCCGAAGAAGTGAAAGTAATAAAATGAAGGTAACCGCCAAAAAAGTCCTCGGAAAAAAAGTTTACGGAAATAAAGTCCTAAAATTTCGCACTAAAAAAGTCCTGTGGAAAAAAGTCCTTTTATTCAAAAGTCTCGGAAATAAAGTCCTACCAATTTGAGACTTTATTTTCTAGGACTTTTTTTCTGGCTCCAGTATGATTTTATACAAAAAAGTCCTCGGAAAAAAAGTCCTCAACAAGTGAAAATGCATGATTCACAATTCTAGGTTTTTCTTTTCCTCGGATTTATTTTCTTCAGGACTTTTTTTACTGAGATCTTATTTCCCGAGACTTTATTGGCAGCCCCCCAAACTATTTTAGGAAAAAAAGTCCCATGAATCCAAAACACAGGAATTTATTTCCAGTGACATTTTTTCCAAGGACTTAAGAAAATTCGGACTTTTTTTTCAAAGTTTTTATTTCCAGGTTTTTTTCCAGAAACTTTTTTCCCGGGACTTTCTTACATAGATTCTAAAATGAAATTGTGCATAGATTCCCTGGGTGATGTCAACACTTGGAATTGAAATGCAAAAAAAAACTTTTGCTTTAACTTGATGAATTTAGGTGGAACTAGTTTCAGGAAAAAATCTCGATTTTGTTAAGGATAGGCAGGGGCAATTCGACACTTAATAACACTAAATTTTGTACAGGCTACATTTGGTTCTATAAATTTAGATAAAAAGCTGAAATTTTGCAAGCTGATTCCCAGTGTGGCCCTCTACTCGGTTCACAAAGAAAATTTGTGATCGGAGGTCATTGACTTAAACCAAAAATCAAGATTTTGCCGAAAAACCGCGATGCAATGCTCCGATATATCTAAAATATTCACAAAATGGTCATATTGGGCCACATCACTATTAAAACCTATGTGCCAAAATGTTTTGTTTAACCCCATACATGTGTCACCCTATAATGTACATAATACTTTATTATCAATCAATTTTACAACTTTAATTTTTACAAAATTAAATGCATGACGGGATTTCGATGTTCCTGTGCTCAGTGGGAATATATTGGCACTGCTGTGAATAATCTAAATGATCGAATGTAAGTAACGACATTATTAAAATCAAAAAGCATATTGAATTGAATACAAAAATTTTTCCTCTTCATATTGAGAATAATTAATTGTAGACTTCAGTACCTGGGCCCCCCGGCTGTACTTGTCTTTTTCCCTTTCATTGTATCCCGACTAACGCTAATTTTAGGAGGCATTATTCTGCAAAATAAATCAATATTACGAAGATTAAAGAAAATATTTTTAACAAATGGTTACATCATAGACTTTTGCGGTTTCAAAATATTAAAGTATTTCTTTGTGAGTTATTTTGATGAAAATAACTGATTAATGTACTACAATGTATACTTTGAAGTACACTGTATGTATTGTAGTACATTGTATACATTTAGGTACAAGCTTTACATAATGCAGTACACTGTATATATTGTATTACACTGTATATATGGCAGCACACTGTATACATTGAAGTACACTATCTACATTAAAGTATATTATATACATTGCAGTACATTGTATTCATTGCAGTATATAATATTCATTGCAGTACATTGTATACATTATGCATTGCAGTATGTTATATAAATTGCAGCATGATATATACATTGCAGTAAATTGTATACATTGCAGTACATTGTATACATTGCAGTACATTGTTTGCATTGCAGTAAACTGTGAACGTTACAGTTCTTTTATTTATTGTAGTACACTGTATAATTTGTAGTACACTGTATACATTGTAGTGCACTATATACAATGTAGTACACTGTATACAGTGTACTACAATGTATACAGTGTACTGTTGTTTAAAAGCTTACGTTTCTTAATTCTCAAGCGACCTTGCATGGTAAACGCTTTTGTCAAAACAATTAAAAATTTCCGCATTAATTGTCTTTATATCTATATATATACTTTGCTTGTCTGCCTGTTTGTATCCATAAATAGAAAAACGGCTAAACGGTACTTCGCATGATCCTAAGATAGGTTCATAGATGATTAAAATTTTAAAAATTAGCCTCTAAAAAATTTGATTTTCATTAAATTTTGAAAATCCACGCCTTTTTATTTATAAATTACGCAAACTTTTAGTTGTTTTTGTTTTACAATGTACACAAAGAGAAAATATTCACAATTAAAAAAAAACATGGATGCGAAGCACCCTGAAAGCCTAGTTTACAAAATTGCCAAAAACACAAACATTTATTACAAAATACATTTCCCCTGGAATTTGTATTTTATTAAAAGAAAATTTACACGCTTTAAACTTTTTAATATCGTAAAAATAAATATTTAAACCATATTTTTCTGTTACTTTGCATATGTTTTGATCGAAAATATGAAACTTGCTTTTTTCATTATAAATTTTCATAGGGATTAATAATTTGTAATTTAAAGTTTAAAATATTCCCATTCATATTTTGACTTTCATTAAATAATTATTAACGATATATTCATTAACGATGCAACCCTGTTTGGTTGAAATTGCAAAATTGATTTTCTCTGAACTTAAATTTATTAGTAGTTTATTTGTTCCAGTCGTTCTAGTTTTTACTTATATAGTTTTCTACTTCACATTTTGAACATTTTTACNTCTCACGCCATCATTGAAGGGTACAGGGGGAAATTGGGGGAATTATTGTGTACACTTATATTTACTTGATTACACTAATCCCAGTTTGATTGTATAATTTACAGGGATATTATGCTATATCTACAGTTGACAAGAAATCAGAGAAAAAAGGTGGCAAAAAAATATTGATTGTATTTTACGTCAAACTGAAGTAAATTTCACATTGTCTTCAACATGACTCCTCCTATTAGAGAGCTATTAGAAAGAACAAATATTTTGAATTTTGAATTTCTAATTTGTAATTGAGTAAATTTGCTTTTATCCTACTGTGCATAAATAAAAAAACTAGAGTCTTACCAGTACGTCCTGTCGCATTAATTTGACCTTCTTCTGTTTATAGTTCAGTACAAAACGTGCTAAAACCAAGGTTATAATGCAAGGAAAGTAGATTGAAGTTTCGTATACTCTCCGTACATATTGAAACCAGTTCTCTCTGGGTGGAATTTGTAAACAAGAATAGATGCATCATTGTTCATTTAGTATCCGAGGAAGTTAAAAGCATTAAATTTTGATAATTTTGATAATTCATATAATAGTTTCCTATGGCCAGAATATTTCATTGATTTTTTTAAGTAAAAGACGGATCCCATATCAGGCTTCGACATCCGTCGTTTGTTTACATTATCGCCCAGAGACAGTACACTGCAGTACAAAAGATGCGTACACCTCTGAAATAACTTTCCTTTCATTATAACCTTGGTTAAAACTATTGTCTTTTTCCGTCTAAAATGTTTATTTGGGGGGGGGGGATAAAATGCTTGATCCCTCAATTAAACCTTTCCCCGGGATATCGAAGTAGAATTAAACTAATTTGTAAGTCTGCATAAAATGGAGATTATTGTTTGATTACGATAAACACAGCACAAAACTTCCAACTTTGGTATTTTAGTAGTAAGGTGCAAGTATATACCACAGGCCGCTATAAGATTGGGTTGGAATTGACCCACGTGACCTGAAGTGGATAATCTTAAAAATAATATATTATAAAGATTTGTTTATTAAACCTGTTTTTAATGTTTGCAGATCATGAATACCTTTAAAATGCATTCAATTTAGTTTGCAAAAATAAACAACGAAGCAATAAATCTAGTTTTTGCGTTGAAAAGATTATAAACTGGATTGTTAGTGTCAGCCTAATTTTGTTCTGATTCTGATGTTTCCTACGACCCTGCAATTAAACAAGGTGAGTCCCCAAAAAAGCAGGGTTTCCATTTGCAAAAATGTTGCGCAATTTTGGGCAGAAGGAACCGCACAATTTTGCTACGTAACGTGCGGCTTAGTAACAGAAAAAGAATGTAAAGAAAAAATTCTTAAATAACTCAAAACCTTGGTCAATGGAAAATAGATCCACGTAGATCTGACAGAAAATGTGTCATCGTTTTTCAATTATAAGCAAAAAAAAAGAAAATGATGTGTTTTTTCAATATGATGATTATATGTACACCTTCTTTGTTTGTATCTAAGAATAGAATAAACATGGGGAAGGACTGCAAAGAATGCCGTACATGAAAACAAAATTAGTTTTCCTTCAATTTGAATTACAAAATATCTAAACAATATTTTTTGGAATATTCTGTCTGCAATTATGTTGCATGAGACAAAAGGAATAAAATAAGTTTCTATTTGTTCCCTTTTTACAACATGGTTAGTTACTAGAACGGAATTAAAAACCTTTACAAAACATTTTACAACATGGTTAGTTACTAGAGCAGAATTAAAAACCTTTACAAAACATTTTACAACATGGTTAGCTACTAGAACGGAATTAAAAACCTTTACAAAACATTTTACAAACAAAGAAACTGATTACTCGCCTCAAACTCTCGATCAGAGTAAGAATATGTAAGTATGTTGAGATGAGAAAATTCGAGTACGAGAGGTGTGATCAGCTCCTTTCTTTGTTCGTAAATAAACTTAAACGAAGGAAAACACCTATATGAGATGTATAAACGAATAGCACGTAACAAACTATCAAAAGAAAATATAAATATGAATAAAAACTTATTAACACGAATTGTATTGAAAATTGAATATTGACGAATAAAGTTTAATTTCAAATAACACAGATTTAATGCATAATTGAAACTTCTATATAATGACCAATTAGAAGACAATAATTAGAACATTATATAAGATTTATGTTCTTGATTACATTAAGAGACATTAAGAGACATTAAGAGACAATAAGAGACATTAAGAGACAATAAGAGACATTAAGAGACAATAAGAGACATTAAGAGACAATAAGAGACAAAAAGACAATAAGAGACAAAAAGAGACAAAAAGAGACAATAAGAGACATTAAGAGACATTAAGAGACAATAAGAGACATTAAGAGACAATAAGAGACATTAAGAGACAATAAGAGACATTAAGAGACAATAAGAGACAAAAAGACAATAAGAGACAAAAAGAGACAAAAAGAGACAATAAGAGACATTGAGAGACATTAAGAGACATTAAGAGACAATAAGAGACAATAAGAGACATTAAGAGACATTAAGAGACATGAAGAGACATTAAGAGACATGAAGAGACAATAAGAGACAATAAGAGACATTAAGAGACAATAAGAGACATTAATAGACATTAAAAGACATTAAGAGACAACAAGAGACAATAAGAGACATTAAGAGACATGAAGAGACAATAAGAGACATTAAGAGACATTGAGAGTCAATAAGAGACATTCAGAGACATTACGCCAGAAGTTGATAAGGAGGGAGGGGAAAAGAAATCAGGGGGGGGGAAGAAGAACACAATTTGAAATTTTTTGCGACGTTTTGAACTTCTGTGTTCTCCAGAAAACAAGGCTCCGTGTTTACCGGAGAACAAGCTTCTGTGTTCGCCAGAGAACAAGGCTCCGTGTTCACCAGAGAACAGGGCTACATGTTTACCGGAGAACAGGGCTACATGTTCACCAGAGAACAAGGCTCCATGTTCACCAGAGAACAAGGCTCCATGTTCACCAGAGAACAAGGCTCCATGTTCACCAGAGAACGAGGCCCTGTATTTACTAGACAACAAGGCTCCGTGTTCATCGGAGACCAAGGATCTGTGTTTTCCGGAGAAGAAGGCTCCGTGTTTACAATTGAACAAAGCTCCATGTTTACCAGCGATTAAGGCTTCATTTTACTAGCGAACAAGGCTCCGTGTTTACCGAAGAACAAGGCTCCATGTTTACTAGAGAACAAGGCTCCGTGTTCACCAGAGAACAAGGCTCCGTGTTCACCAGAGAACAAGTCTCCATTTAAGCAGGAGTTTGAACATATAAGCAGGATTTTGAACATTTAAGCATGATTTTGAATATATAAGCAGGAGTTTGAACATATAAGCAGGATTTTGAACATATAAGCATGATTTTGAACATATAAACAGGAGTTTGAACATGTAAGCAGGATTTTGAACATATAAGCAGGATTTTGAATATACAAGCAGGATTTTGAACATATAAGCAAGAATTTGAACTATAAGTAGATTTTGAACATATAAGCAGGATTTTGAACATAATAGGCAGGATTTTGAACTCTGTGCTATCTCTGTTATACCGAAGAACATTTGGTTCCCTGTTTACCAGAGATTCAGTAAATTCAGGTCCCCTCCTTATATCTCTTTTATATTTGTAGTTTTCGTAAAGCTTTATTAAATATTAGGGAAAGTTTAGAAACTGATATAAAATTAACCCTGAACAATGGAAGAGTTTCTAGAACATTAATCAACACATGCGAACCCAACATATAAACAGAATTTGAAACTTATGTGCCAGTGATAAATATTTTTTATTTTCAACATTTAAGTCAAAACAGCAGTATTAACATTGTAATTTCTGAACATATTAATTAAGTTGAGTAAAATTGAATAAAACTATATATGTCATTGTAATGGGTATTATGCGTGCGAAAAAGTTTTTGCTTCTAGTTTCTACGTTCGGTGTCAAAATACTATTATTTTAATCTCAAACAAATTAGAAAAAGTAAAAATCCCGACAAAAACTTTTTCCCACTTAATAATACATAAATAGATATACCAAAGAAATATTAAATAAGCGCATACAGCACTTTGTCCAGGGAGGGGGCTGGGGGGGTGGCTTTCACTGTTTTTTAACTTGTTGGAAATACTGGTGGCTCGGATATATTTTGGGGTTTGAACTTTTCTCTGAAATCCATAGCTGCCTTTTCCCCGGGCGTAGCTTACAACCCCCCACCCCGTATACGTAGCTTACAACCCCCCCCCCTGTATACGCCTCAAAATAAAGTACAAATTGCTCAGTATAATATTTGCGTGCATTGATAGATCACTTCTGCGTAGAAGAACTCCCTCTCACAGAACTTCTTACAAAGTAAATTGCCCTTAATTTTCAAAGTTTTGATTCAAATTGGTCTTTTAAAAACAATCAGTTTCTACAATTGTTTTCGATTTCTTTTCATAATAATTTTCTTATGTATTCTATAATGTATATTTGATGCAGTGGTCCCCATTAAATGATGGAGTACACTATACAATCATAAGATTCAGACTATATTTAAGATTTTAAATCTTTTTAGTTGGATTCAAATAAAACTATTCACTATTTCTCAATATCTAATACAATTAGGAGATCTCGTTAATATAGTCTTCCTATTCCAAAGTTTTATGGTGACCCTGTATGCATTAATTATGGCCGTGGAACAGTAATGTTGAATAAAGCTTTTAGTGTTTTATCCTTTATTTAAATTACCTTTCGCGTTCACGGTTAAGACTGACATGTTGATAGACAAGACTGACATGTTGGTAGACAAGACTGACATGTTGTAAGATTTTAATTCCTTTGTCTGCTGTTTTAAGACTGACATGCATCTCATCGTGACAATATAATTCGAAGTATTGTAAGAAAACTTGGGATAACGCAAAAATTTGTCTCCGAAGGAAATGTTCTCTCTTTTCAGCAAAGGTCCTTTTCATAGATCCCTAAAAAGCAGTAGATTATTCGTTTAAATTAATAATTTTCAGTTTCTTATTTTATCGCAACCTGTTATCGTAGACTTTCAACAATTCATACTGAAACGACTGTGCGGAATTAATTGAGTTCTTTTTTATATATAAACGCTCCCCTATATTTGAAAACAAGAATGTTTCTTTACAAAACCATTAATTTAACTATATATATATTAAAGAGACAGAAGACCAAAGCTATCATTCAAATCTTCATAGTTACAGAGTTTTGGTCGTCTTCTTAGAATCATTCTTTTTGGTGAACTCTGTACATTCTGCTAGATTAAAAAGACAACGTTTAAAATATCAAAGGTTTTCACCTGCAGGTTCCAAAGATTTAGGGATTAGAAAATAAGAGTATAAGAGGAGTATTCAGTTTCTTTTCTATTGTTTTCAGTATGAAGCACAGTCACACTTCTGGATGGTCTGGTTTGCGTAAAACTTGAACATCTAGAAAGAAAGAAGTTATTATAAGACTAATTTAGGTGCTAATTATGTGAATTCGAGTATAGTTAAAGCGCACAAAGCACAAAACAATAATTAATCTGCACCCCCCCCCCCCCACCCCATCCTGCTGCTTACCCTCAATTAGCGTCTTAAATAGGGATNCCCCCCTCCTCACCTCCCTCTCTTATATTTACACTTTCTTATCTCCTCGTATAAAATCAATATATTTCCATGTTTTCTCCATAATATCACAAACCTTCAGTCTGATTGCAGAACACACATTAAATCCAGCTTTTGTTAATACCCGGAGCAAAACCAAACCGTCTGTTTAGTACCCGACCTGTACCCAGAGCAGGATCAACATACGAACCAAAAAAGAGAAGGAAGAAGTTCTATGCAAAACAAGGCAATCCTTTAGTTTTCAGCTTCAATCCTTACTTCTAAATCAATTCTTATTTCCTGGTTTGCCTGCTCAATTTCCTAAATCCATATATCCGCAGTCTTAGCAAGATATCCTTGCAGTATTCAAGAATGAACCTGGAGCAGTATATTTCCTTCACATCCTACTCTATACCCTGAGCTTTAGTCAACCTGCCTCTCCCTGTTCAAGGCTGACCCCAGAGAATGCTCTGTTTAAGATCTGCTTCAACAAGTTTTGAATAAGTTTTTTTGAAAGAAGAAGTAAAAAACAAGGTTAGTAAAATATGATAAAAAAATCCTTTTTTTTTGTGTGGATATGACAAAGATATCATACTTATTTTGAAAAACCGATTAAAGATATATCGTACATATTGTAAACTTTTTTTGTAGACTGAGAATGCCGGGTAGGATTCTAGGATCTCACGCCATCATTGAAGGATTAGGACAGGGACAAGGTGTATATCAGGTATACTATGCCCATAGGATCCTACACTAGTATTGAAGGATTAGGACAAGGTGTATATCAGGTATATTATCAATATAGGATCCTACACTAGTATTGAAGGATTAGGACAAGGTGTACATCACGTATATTATCAATATAGGATCCTACACTAGTATTGAAGGATTAGGACAAGGTGTATATCAGGTATATTATCAATATAGGATCCTACACTAGTATTGAAGGATTAGGACAAGGTGTATATCAGGTATATTATCAATATAGGATCCTATACTAGTATTGAAGGATTAGGACAAGGTGTATATCAGGTATATTATCAATATAGGATCCTATACTAGTATTGAAGGATTAGGACAGGGACAAGGTGTATATCAGGTATACCAGGAGTATATGTCGATCCTACACTAGTATTGAAGGATTAGGACAAGGACAAGGTGTATTTTAGGTATACTACGCATATAGGATCCTACACTAGTATTGAAGGAATAGGACAAGGTGTATATCAGACAACCAGGAGTATAAGATCCTACACTAGTATTGAAGGATTAGGTCAAGGACAAGGTGTATATCAGGTGAAGGAGTATAGGATCCTAGACTAGTATTGAAGGATTAGGACAGAGACAAGGCGTATATCAGGTGAAGAAGTAAAGGATCCTAGACTATTATTGAAGGAGTAGGACAGAGACAAGGTGTATATCAGGTGAAGGAGTATAGGATCCTAGACTAGTTTTGAAGGATTAGGACAGAGACAAGGTGTATATCAGGTGAAGGAGTATAGGATCCTAGACTAGTATTGAAGGATTAGGACAAAGACAATGTGTATATCAGGTGAAGGAGTATAGGATCCTAGACTAGTATTAAAGGATTAGGACAGAGACAAGGTGTATATCAGGTGAAGGAGTATAGGACCCTTCATATTGTATTGAATGAATAATCCCAAACTTCAGGATCCTTTTATTGGTGAATATTTGTTTAGAGATTGAATGTGGACGGATTATCAAAAGAGGAGGAGCTATCAGTTCAAGCTCAGTTCCAGGTATAATAACGAGTAGAGAAAATAGGTTTGTCAAATCTCAATTCTCATTGAAACTAAGAATAAAGAGATGCAATCCATCCTAACTTAGTCCCAGGTAACAAGGAAAAGGGAGATGCAGGTATCTGTCCTAATCCAGGTTCAGTTTTCGTCCGTGCATTCATAACTTTGGACTTAGGAGAATATCAGTTCTTTCTCAGTTCAGGTGTTGTAAGAAGTGTGGAAAATATATCCGTCGTAAAAAAGGGTTTGGAGTAAGTTGAAGCATTCTATTCATCCGGCTTGCTCATCTATACTAATTACTTATTTCTCCTTCTCATCTAATCATTCACGAACCCGTCCTAATTATCTACTTATCCTTCCTATACTCAGCTATTCATCCGTCCTCATTTACTCACTCGTCCTACTAATCTCCTCATCTGTCCTACTAATCTACTCACTCGTCCTACTAATCTCCTCATCTGTCCTTCTCATCTACTCACTCGTCCTACTAATCTCCTCATCTGTCCTACTAATCTACTTACCCATTCTACTAATCTCCTCATCCGTCCTACTCATCTACTTACCCATTCTACTAATCTCCTCATCCGTTCTACTCATCTAATCATCCATTTTACTACATTCTACTTATTTCCTCATCCGTCCTACTCATCTAATCATCCATCCTACTTTTCCAATCATTCGTCCTACTCACCATATCATCCCCCTAAATAATCTCCTCACACGTCCTACTCATCTTCTCATCCCTTCTGCTCATCTACTCATCGGTCCTACTCATACTAATTCCAGCTACTTATCTACTCATTGGTCCAACTCATTTGCTTATCCCCCGTATTTATCTACTCATTCGTCCTTCATCTATACTGATCTAATCCTAGTATATATCAGGGTCGACTGTGTATAGAGAAGAGTAAACTTGGATATGGAAGAACCTGGATTCTAAACACATCTTCACAGTTCAGGTTTGGACTAATTTTAGTTGTTAAACTCAATTTCTCCTTGTGTGAAATAATCAGCCAATAATGCCCCATCGGTTAGATCCATGTGCACCAAGGAGAAACGAGGGCGAGGCTAATCTGTGCACATGGATAGGACAAGTTTAGCATATACGACCCATATTCAAAAGTTCTCAGCTATAGTTTACTTGCAATCCAATTATATCATTCATAAGTCTAAACTAGTCTGATAAAGATTGGCTTCTTCTTCTACTCTTAACCAGCAAAAAAAGTGGACTTAAACTCGACTTAAACTCGACTTAAACTCGACTTAAACTCGACTTTAACTCGACTTTGTTGCAAGTTTTGTTGCAAGTGCATGACTAGTTCAGAACTGGTATTTTAAATTTTAAACTTTTGTCAGTCGACTTATTTCCGACTTTTAGTCGATTTTCAAAGTCGACTTTTTACGAACTAGTTTTAAACTAGTATTCTATACCCGTTTGCTCGGTATTATAACTTGTATATTGTATATTTACTGTATAGTGGAGGAACAGGAGCACCCCCAACCCAGCTCAATATTCTAAACCTATTAGAGAACCTGGGGCTATACCTCATCACAGATACAGTACAGGTACAGGTACAGGTACAGGTACAGGTACAGGTACAGGTACAGGTACAGGTACAGGTATAAATTACTAAAACTCATGCAGTCATTGTACAATTAAACGTTTATGTACAGGGTGTGAATGGTGTACGTGTAAGTGTGTTCAGAAGACGACCTGACTGCAGCCACTGCTGTAGAGATAGATAGATGAATAGATGAATATAGCTGCATTTTTATTTCTTGTAAATATAATTTGTTCCAAAATAATATAATAAAAATTGTACTTAGAAGAAATTATTGTACTTTTATCTTACAAGATACATTTCGATTTTAAGAGAAAGCTTTTAAATTTTATTCCAAGAAATTCAATATATTTTAGAGTATAGAGTAGCTTTATGAGTAGCTTTATTTAATAGGCCTTAATCAACAAATCTACTTTAACAAGTTTTAGCACGCAGAAACGGGGTGGGAGGGGGAGGGGGGGAACTACCGTTAATTACTGTATAAGGTGAGACCATTATTCCCCCCACTTTATAATTTCACCACATGGCATCTCTATTATGAGATAAAACGGTGCAAAATACTGTATAAACTATAGAGAGAATATAAAAGTTTAAGGACTGTCCAAAAAAAATTTTGAGATCTTGATTAGGCAAAAAAAAATGCTCAGGCTATCTTAAAATTATAGAAATTTGAAATTTCCACTTCAATATGTTTACATATAATATAAGAACTAATCTAGAAGAAAAAGTAAGATAAGTTAAGATTAAGATAAAGTTTATTGCTAAAATACATGTATCTGTGTACAGAACTAGTTTACAATTACAAATTGATTATTATATTAACAGTACAAGTATAAAGCAATTAGGTGGAAAATAGCGCTTGGCTGTTTTGATTATTTCAATAATGATAACAGCACATTTCAATTAAATAGATTTAAGGAGAACTATTAGAGATTAGGGTGCGATTTTATCTTATGCAAAATAATTAATACATTAATTATAATAAATAGTTTAATCATAATGTAAAAGATCTAAGCTGAATAAAGACTAAAGCAGAGGGCAAACCTTTCGTATTGGATAGCGCTCAGCTTCAGCTACTCAACTGGATATACAATGCACGATATTTTTAATGAACCGTCGCAGGGGGAGCTATTAACCATGAGAGGGCATGAAAATACATGTTTAAGATTATACTTATGTGGATTGTGGATTATAGATAAAAGTTATCGAACAAAGTTTATCAAGATTTTTCGATTTTTAAAATGAATACTATAACTAAAAGTATAGAGGACTCAGTCCCCCAAGTGGATAGGATCAGCTCGAACAGTGCATCCTGATCAACACTGCTATGATCGGCAGCTCCTAGCTTATCATGGCTCACAACTGGCTTATCAAAATTCAAAAAACCAAAAACTTCTCTCTTTAACTTTCCTAAAATGATCATCCTGGGTTTTACGTGTCTCGTACTTCACATGGAATATATAATCTGAGAAAAACCAAAATTCAAAATATAGAATATCAAAAAAACCAAAAAAAAACAAAAACAATAATAAACAAAATTTTTGTAAAAATTAAGTTATAAATAAGCCAGTGCTTTGCCATGAAACACCTGGAAACTTAATAGTTATCAAATTTTCAATTGCTTCCAGAATCCAGATGGGTTAAAATACATCATGACTGGTTGAAACAGATCCCCCTGTCCTGTACAAATTGCATTAGTTTGTTATTTCCAAAAGTCCAAAAAAAGTGCCTTTGAATTAAAAATTTTACAACATTAATCAGAGCTGAAAACTTTAGAATGGTGGATATCAGGATTAATGCTTAATCCACTCTTTTTCTTAATCTCCAGATTAAATATTGCTTATAATCCTCATGAACTTAATCTCCAGATTAATTAACAGATCGGGATTAAGGATATCCCATTCTAAAGTTTTCAGCTCAGGATATATGCGGATTAAGATGTATCAATTCAATTTCATCATTGGATATCTAAACAGATTTTGCGGATTTTTCTTTTGATTACTTTGCGACACTCCCTGTAATAAATCTATACTACGTCTCTCCATAAAGAACAAAGGCCCGTCTGAAGATGATGACGTCATCAAGCGTGCAGAGGTCCGGGCACCCTATTCACTATATATATACTACCAGAGATGATTAAAGTGGCAAAAAGCTATTAAACTCCTCATGTTTCACTAGGCCTGGCCAACATCTTATTAAAAAATTTAAAATCTATACTTTTTGTGATCTCCAGAAATCACAAAAACCAAAACTCACTTACTCTTTAAAATACATTTTGCATGACAAAATAAGATATTAGAAATATAATATCAATTGTGCATGATTTCCCCCGCTATTATTCATAAAAAAAATAAACTTGTGAACAATATAGTGATCAATAGTTACGTAAGACGATAATTCGTTAATCTACAGGTTCGAGAGTACATTTAGATTTTATTAAATCTAAAATATTTTTGCCAGATCTTGTGTTTAAGTAGAATTGTTTTATTGTATTTAATGTCCAGACCTATGTTTGAGGTCCGACCTTGAAGGTATAAAATGATAAGCTGGATAATTAGAAGAGATCAGTAACTGTCCCTCCGTCTTCACGGTAACAACTATACGAAAAGGTAACTTTCAAAAAAGTTTTTTTAATTTAATTTTTTTTCTTTATATAAACTTAAAAAAACATGTTTTTACGTTTGTGTAAATAAAGATTTTCTAAACCGAGATATTTAATAAAATTTTGCAAATTGGTAAAATCATGGTTTTCCTTTTTGCATAATATTTATTATACAGGTAGGTTTTAATTTTTAATTTTTGATATTTGAAATAATGAAATCTTCGAAATCAAATAGCCAAAATATGATCTATAAATGTACGTCATTACGTTGCAAATATTTAAGTTTGAGGAGAATAATTTGTTCAATATCCTTAAAAAAGCATATTTGCTTTTGCGGATTTATTCGTGTTTTGAACCAATGCATGTTTGATTGGTCTACTTACTATTGTTACCAAATTAGAGAAAATATGTTGTAAATTTCACAAAATTACTTTCAAAATTTTTATAATGTTTGATCCAATCGAACTTTACTCTTCAGATGAGTATGTTGTGAAAAGACAATAAATTATGTAATGATAAATGGAATTTATTTAAAAGTGTAGAGAGGAAATTATTTAAACTATAAATGGGAAATTATTTAAGTGTAAAGACGGGAAATTTATGAAAACTAAAGACGGGAAATACATGAAAACTATAGACGGGAAATTAATGGAAACTAAAAACGGGAAATTTTTTGAAAACTAAAGACGGGAAATTAATGAAACCTAAAAACGGGAAATTTATGAAAACTAAAAACGGGAAATTTATGAAAACTATAGATGGAAAATTAATGAAAACTGTAGACGGGAAATTAATGAAAACTATAGACGGGAAATTATCTGAAAGCGTAGACGGGAAATTAAGTAAATTATCATAGACGGGGAAATTGGATAGGAAATTTTAAATAAGTATACAAGGGAAATTTTAAATAAGTATACAAGGGAAATTTTAAATAAGCATACAAGGGAAATTTTAAATAAGTATACAAGGGAAATTTTAAACAAGTATACAAGGAAAATATGGAAAAGTATAAAAGGGAAATATGGAATTGTATAAAAAGGGAATTATGGAAAAGTATAGACGGGAAATTAAGTAAAAGTATAGACGAGAAATTACGGAAAAGTATAAAAGGGAAATTATGGAAAAGTATAGACGGGACATTTTTTAAACGTATAAAAGGGAATTATGGAAAACCAGAACGGGAAAATATGTAAAAGTGCATTAAGGGAAATTATGTAAAGTATAGAAGCGGAACTATAAAAATGTAAAAAGTATAAACGGTAATTTATGTAAATTATTAAAGGGAAGTTCATTAAAAGTATACATGAGAATTTATGTAAAAGTATAAAAAGGAAATGTTGTAAATGTATACATGGGAAATTATGAAAAAGTATGCACGGGAAATTATGTAAATGTATACATGGGAAATTATGTAAAAGTATACATGAGAAATTATATAAAAGTAATGACTGTAAAAATATTGGCGGGAAATTATATAAGTGTAAAGACGAGAAATGATTAAAATGTAAAGACGTGAAATTATATGAAAGTATAGAAGCGAAATTATGCAACAGTAAAAAAGTAAAAATGATTAAAATGAAAGACGCAAATTATGTAAAATCTGCCGGAAAAAAAATTCGCTTTTTAAAATTAGCAGAATTTAAAAAAAAGATTTATGTTGTTTTGTTTTGTAGATGACTGGAAATTATATTATGAACCTGTCTGAGACTGGAACCCAATATCCAGACTCCAGCTCTACTACAGAGTGCTGGGAAAGCCCAGAAGATCCAGGTAACTCGTCACGCCGCGCCAGGATATAAGGGTCGCAGGTCACCTTAGACTAACAAGGACGAGATGTCTTCGTTTTTCTTCCTTTTGAATTCAATACCGTGTTGGGTCTAAAATTCAGCAATCATTAATATGTTATCTTATTTTTATTTCAAAACGTATCTTCCGAAAAAAAGTGTAAAAGAGAAAATAGATCGATTTGTGAAATTTTGGGGAAAATAGATCGATTTGTGAAATTTTGGGGAAAATGGAAAAAAATTGATTATATGTGATGGAATGAGTGGTTATGACATGATTTTTCACTTGAACAGTGGCGTGTCCGATTTAAAATATGCAGAGTGGCGTGTCTTATATAAAATATGTAGAGTTGCGTGTCCGATATTAAATATATAGAGTGACGTGTCCGATATAAAATATGTAGAGTAGCGTGTCCGATATGAAATTTGTATAGTAGCGTGTCCGATTTAAAACTTGTAGAGTGTCGTGTCCGATATAAAATCTGTAGAGTGGCGTGTCCGATTTAAAATTTCACAATTTGCTCTCTTTTTACCCCTAGGAGAAGCAAGCTCTTATATTTACATGTCTGCATAGAGCTAGAAAAAAGTAAAATTTACTTAATTTGTCTGGTTCAACCGAAGATCAGGGACTTGCGGCGCTTTAAAATCTGCCCGGTCTTAAATATTGATGCATAGTTAGAAAAGCTGTTTGGATATCTGTGCCAATATTATAGATTTTGATACCAACATGTTTCTTAAAATAATTTGATTTAACTTTTCCAGGAACGAAATTTGATCTTTCAGTATTAAACTTATATCTTCATAATTCAACCTTGTCGAGAGCTCATTATTAACTCTATATTTAAGAAGGGAAAATATCATATTTCAACTTTAATTGATTTTAATTAAGTGAATACTTTCTAAAAAAAAACATGAATAAGTTTAAAATGAATAATTTAATTATATGTTGTTCAGTAAAAATATCTATCTATGTGTATGTATAATTACAACCAAATTTATTAGATATATTTATGTACTTTAAAAAAAACAAATTTAATATTTACTTTCATTCAACAAGAAAACAAGTGTACTGCACATTTCACAACAAAACAACAACAAGACCTTTCAAATTATCTTTAGAAAATCTGTGCGCTCGCTGAATGATTAACGCGCCAAATCTATACGATTGCGCGTTTCGCAATGGTTTTATGCAACAACTGATGTAAATTGTACATGCTTTCACTGGTCAAAGTTCAATTACACTGGGATCTCAATTGTCATGTACATACTCAGTTATGTTGTACACTAGGGTACACTCCTGATAAATATGTAGTTTCAAATTAAAATTTTGATAGACAATTTATTTAATTTATTGTATACCTAATATGGATAAAAATAAATTATAATTTATTTAATTTTTATTTATATCGCCTTCTTTTTTAATGGTTCAACGATAGTGTATTTAACATATGCATTAACATTTACCAAATATGGTCCAATGCAGAAAGCGGAAAATTTAATCTTTTTATGTTTTATTGCAATGTTGCCATTGCGTTGTCTTCTTTCAAAATGTTCCAAGGGTTGCAAGCTCTAACGTTGCCAAATATGTCTAAAAACAAGTGCTTTACAGGTTTACCAATATATGTCTAGGGCTACTAAATAGTTTAAGTGAGTCAGTGAGATAAATTCAAATGTTAAGGCGTTGCGACAGTTTAAAGTCTACCCAGTCTTTAACAATTGTGTAACTTTGTATCGCAGTCTGGATCTAGATGAATAACACTCTTTGTAAAAGCGGATTTATTATATAACAGCAAAAAGAATCAACGTTTAGCAAAACTAGCCGTATATATACCCTAGCCGTACCTAGCCGTACTAGCCGTATATATACCCTAGCCGTACCTAGCCGTACTAGCCGTATATATACCCTAGCCGTACCTAGCCGTACTAGCCGTATATATACCCTAGCCGTACCTAGCCGTACTAGCCGTATATATACCCTAGCCGTACCTAGCCGTACTAGCCGTATATATACCCTAGCCGTACCTAGCCGTACTAGCCGTATATATACCCTAGCTGTACCTAGCCGTACTAGCCGTATATATACCCTAAGTGTATGTTCGGCCTTTTCGTTGCCTTTATTTAGCATCAATTTTAATATTAAAGGGGTGTATCATCTATATTATAAAGCTCTTTACTCGTATACAGGGTAAACGGACTTGAGACGATTGTATGGAATTTATATCTGACATGCAGGATTCCCTGTAACTGTAAACTTGTTTCTTTCTGTCCTAAACATATGGGTGAAAATAAATGGGTAAAAATGTGTTCAAAGTGAAGCCTTACTAAAAATTGAACTATAGAACACCTAAATCAACCTTACCAACCTTTTTTCCCCGAACTTATTTTTTCTCCTTTAATTTTTACAAAAGATTATTTTTCTCTGTAAGGCCGGCCTGTAAGTTTAAATTGAATATAGTATTTACAGATTGTCAACTTTTGTGAGTTACAGAGTTCAGTCCTCCCAACCCACTTAAGGGAGTGAATTCTTATTTTTTCTAGTTCATAATTTCAATCTAAAATGTGAACGCTTTTACACAAAAAATATCAGTATTTTGCCCGTGACTTATTTAAACTTGAAAAATGTATGCGTAAGTCCAAGGTGTTAATATACTGTAAAGTCGACAGAGAATGTTTGAATATAAATAATGGTCATGTTTTTATCAATAAATGTTTTGTACATACAGGGTGAAATAAAAAACATGAATTATTGATTTAAAATTCGGTGATGGTGATGGACCAAACCTCTGTAGAGTAAAAAAGTATATGTTAGTTCCACATTTATTGAAAATATATTTCGGTCTGGGTTGACCCTCGTCAGTTCTAACGATATAATAACCATCAAAATCGATAAAAAAAAATAAAAAAAAATGTAAAAATCACAAGAATAAAAACAAACAAAAAGATTATTCAAAATAAAAATTTGGGCTGTCAAATGGACATAAGGGAAAAGAACTCAGATTATGAGATGGAAAAAANCCCTGTCCTAGATATATAATCAATCTCCCCCTGGACAAATTCATGCATACGCCCCTGTCCTAGATATATAATCTATCTACCCCTGGACAAATTCATGTATACGCCCCTGTCCTAGATATATAAAAAATCTCTCCCTGGACAAATTCATGTATACGCCCCAGTTCTAGATATATCTTCCAATATTTAACATGTTTGTTTATTAATATAAAAACAATTTGATAAAAAAAATGATATAAAAATTCCACATGATTTAAAATTTCAATTTTAAATTCTAAATAATCCTGGCTATTAGAACAAACTTAATAAAAAGACGATTCCTTTGATCAATTTGTATATTTAATCCACAAAAATTAAAATGACAAATAACAATGGGGATTTTCCTGTTTAAAATTTCCAAGGAAACTACTTTTTAAATTTTGATAGGTCCGAAACGTTTCCTTACTTCATGTGAGTTTTTACCAAAAATTGTTCCCTTTAACCGGTTTTTGCAGTTTGACATTTGTAAGATAAAAACAATCAAAATTTTTTTGAAATTTTATTTTTAATTTTTTTAAAATTTCACTGGCAACGCCGGGCGCTTCAGCTAGTTTGTTATATAATATAGTAAGGTAACGTACAAATTTTGAAGTTTTTCATTCATTTAATTAATATTATTCTAGGATTTGTTTTTTTTATTCTGACAGGCCATGCCCATAAACCTTTCCTGGCCATTACATATTTGGTCCCATTAGCAGATTTAGCAGTTTTGACGTTAACCCTATTCCTGCTGGGGGGTGGGGGGCCCTGTAGTTATTTTTACATTACTTAAAAGGTATTGGTCTCTGGCTGTTTTAGATTTTTAGATTTTTCCTGAATACCCATAGCCCTCCCTTTAGGTCTAAAATCGGGCTTTTATACGAACTGCCCGAGTCCTCAGGCAAACTGCTTGAATGACTACTTCATAAGAAAGGGATTACACAAGTTTTGCAAACAAATTTTTGAAATTATTTGCACATTTTAGTTTTTCTTAAATACACATCATGTTATTTAAAATTTTGCAAACTTTTTTACATATTTGAGATGGCATGGTAAATGGCTTTTTAAAAATGTATTTTTTTATCATTTTTTTGACATTTTTTTTGACAGATTCTAAAAGTTGAGCATAATAGCTTTCCAATGATGTATCATTTGTCATATTTTGATATGAAACATGGGATTTAGAGGGAGGGGGGGGGGGAACTGCCCCCTTCCCCCAGCGTATCCTGGTCCCCACTAGTAAAAGGGTTAATTGGGTAACACAAACAAAAATTAGACCAACCAATATAAAGGCTAGATGTATGCATGATCTCGGTTTAAAATACCTGGTTCAAGACTGAAGCAGTTGCATGAATTTATAATAAGCTGTATCTAACAATCTATTGTATACATTGCAGTGCATTCCTGGACTTAGTTGGGTTAATTACTAGTTTTATATCTTGATGCAAGCTATATACTACTCGCGGCTTTTAGGGCTCTTCGTGTCTCTTTTCTAGTTACAATTTAAGTTTATAACTATTGCTTTTAAAGTTTCCATTTTTTATATTTCATCAATAAAATAAAATTCTGTTTAATTTGGTGCAATTACAAAAATAATAAATGTAAACCTTTATCCCAGAATTTTTTTTTAATTTGAGAGAGTCATAATTTGATAAACATTCCCTGATTACCTCAGGGAAGGTTTATGAAATTATGACTGTGAGTTGCCACCATAGTTTAGGCTCAATCGTTTTTTTTTTTACTTTTATTAAACACAAGCAAACATGCACTCAGGCAAGCAAAAAGTGTATAAGTGAATAAGTGTATAAGTGAATAAGTGTATAAGTGTATAAGTGTATAAGTGAATAAGTGTATAAGTGAATAAGTGTATGAGCGTATAAGTGTATAAGTGAACAAGTGTATAAGTGAACAAGTGTATAAGTGAATAAGTGTATAAGTGAATAAGTGTATAAGTGAACAAGTGTATAAGAGAATAAGTGTATAAGTGAATAAGTGTAAAAGTGAATAAGTGTATAAGTGAATAAGGGCAGTACGTTGCAACACTTCAAAGTCGACTAATTCTTGAAAATTGATACAACTTTTTACAGCAGTCTGGCCGGGTTCAATAAAAAGCTAGACGCTATTTTACTATTTTTTTGAAACATGTAAGATATTCTAATTTTTAGTAAAAGAGAGTGACCGGCACTGTATGGTGGTTGAACTGAGTATGCAGTATTGTAGAAAATCTGTTTAGGATTCATTTGAGACATACAAAACGTGTTCACGATGTATAATTACTGAGTTTGAGTGCAAAGTCGACGTTCAAAATCATGGTTTTGTGTAGGACCGTTTTCAGAATCGGTTTTTTCAAAATTATTAAAAAAAGTAAAAATTTTACAGTAAACTAATTTAATGGTTAGGAACATATTTCTCAAAAGAAATTGTTCAATAAATCAATGCTAGAATCAATGATTTCGCTTTCATAATTGTATTGAATTCCTTATTTTCTATGAATTTGTTCGCAGATTTCTACAAATTCTTAAAATGTCGTCTTTTCAATAAAAAATCCAGAAAATCCGAAGAAAATCTTTGTGATTATAGAGAGATTATAGAAACTAATAATTGAGTAAGATCACTTATTTTCGATGATAAGAGTTAATTTTTATTTTCTCAACCTGTTCCTAAACAACTAATTATTTTACTGTAGAATTTTGTTTACATTTTTGGTGGCCTTAATTAAAAAATAAAAAAAAACGTTTCTGAAAACGTTTCCACCCAACTTCATGATTTTTAACGTCGACTTTGCGCTCAAACTAAGTAAATATACGTCGTAGAAACGTTTTATATGTCTCAAATGAATCCTAAAAAATTTGTCCACAATACTGCGTATTTAGTTCAACCGCCATATATTGCCGGTCACTACCTTTAAAAGAATCCTTCGATTACCTACAAGAAAGAAAACAAAATGGCTGAAAACCAAATGGCTAAAAACAAAATGGCTGAAAACAAAATGGATGAAAACAAAATGGATGAAAACAAAAGGGATGAAAACAAACTGGATGAAAACCAAATTGATGAAAACAAAATGTCCGAAAATAAAATGTCTGAAGATAAAAGAACTATTTTCCTGGATTCGGGTGGGTTCGGACCCTGGAACTATCTTCTACTCTGTCTCTCCTCACTTAGGTTTAATTTAATTTCAACTTAAATTTTGTTTTCTCTTTTTATAGTTATAACTACATCTAACCTAACAAGAAAGTTGTAACAAACTGACTTACAAGTATGTTGCCCCTTTAATTCTCCAGTATCCTCTACTTCTTTACTCCGCTAAACCCTTTACTCCTCATATAGTTCCCTTAATCCTCTAATCACTTTTAGCCTCTAGTGGTAGTACTTTTAACCTCTAATTTAACAATACCTCTAATCTCCAAAATTCTTCAATCTTTTTATTACTTTAATCCTGAAGTCTCTTTACATCTCCAATTCCTTTCAGTTTTTAATTATAGTTCCTAAATCCATTCTTTAAATCCTTTGATTCTTCATATCGTCTAGTCTTAATCGTCTTCTGGTATCTTTAATCCTACAGTTCCTTTAAATTCTTGTCCCTATTTAACCTGCATGTTCCTTTAATCCTATAGTTCCTTTAAATTCTTGTCCCCATTTAACCTGCATGTCCCTTTAATCCTATAGTTTCTTTAAATTCTTGTCCCTATTTAACTTGCATGTCCCTTTAATCCTATAGTTTCTTTAAATTCTTGTCCCCATTTAACCTGCATGTCCCATTAATCCTATAGTTCCTTTAAATTCTTGTCCCCATTTAACCTGCATGTCCCTTTAATCCTATAGTTCCTTTAAATTCTTGTCCCCATTTAACCTGCATGTCCCTTTAATCCTATAGTTCCTTTAAATTCTTGTCCCCATCTAACCTGCATGTCCCTTTAATCCTATAGTTCCTTTAAATTCGTGTCCCCATTTAACCTGCATGTCCTTTTAATCCAAAGATTCTTATATTTTTTTCTTTCAGTTCCTTCCTGGCAGCCTTCTCTCATCTATCTATTGTTTACCTGGCATACCCTCCAACCTTTAACTGCAGTACAGTAAACAATCAGGAGATAAACAACAACACATGCTTTATACAACGGTAACGTCTTATTCCTAGATGACGTTCCACGGTTCCATACAGTGGTAACTTATTCTTAGATCACGTTTTATGCAGTGGTAACTTCTATCTAGATATCATTTTATATAATGGTATCTTAATACTTTATCATGTTTTATACAACGGTAACTTATTCTGAGATCTTGTTTTTTACAACGGTAACTTATTCTTAGATCATGTTTTATACGACGGTAACGTCTTATTCTTAGATCACGTTCTATATAGTGGTAACTTATTTCTAGATATTATTTTATATAATGGTATCTTAATACTATAGGATGTTTTAGACAACAGTAACTTATTCTTAGATCTTGTTTTATACAACGGTAACTTATTCTTAGATCATGTTTTATACAACGGTAACTTATTCTTAGATCATGTTTTATACAACGGTAACTTATTCTTAGATCTTGTTTTATACATCGGTAACTTATTATTAGATCTTGTTTTAAACATCGGTAACTTATTATTAAATCTTGTTTTATACAACGGTAACTTCTTCTTAGATCATGTTTTACACAACGGTAACTTATCATTACATAATGTATTATACAACGGTAACTTATGTTCTTAAGAATTTTTTATTTTTTCTCAAAAAAAAATCTCAAATCCTTTTTCTTAAAAGTGTGTGAATACTAATCATTTAGAGATTATTTTTAATTTTCAATATTTTTTTTTTAATTGTACGAAGTACGTACACACAATATAGAAGTTGAACCTAGCTTGTGTTTGCATATAAAAAAAAAGAAAAAAAAGACTTCAAACATGAAATCTGATATTTTATTTACAGGAACGAAGATACTAATGATCCTTGTCTAAACTTTACCTTTGATCAATCAATCTTTACCTCAACAGTAGTTACTGAGTATATCTTGGTAAGTACATCTCAACAGTAGTTACAGAGTATATCTTGGTAAGTACATCTCAACAGTAGTTACCGAGTATATCTTGGTAAGTAATACATTACATGCATTCAAATACATAAATTTATTTAATGTATTTAAAATTATATATTTATGTATATAAATGTATCAACAGTAGTTACTGAGTATATCTTGGTAAGTATACCTCAACAGTAGTTACTGAGTATATCTTGGTAAGTATATCTAAACAGTAGTTACAGAGTATATCTTGGTGAGTATATCTCAACAGTAGTTACTGAGTATATCTTGGTAAGTACATCTCAACAGTAGTTACAGAGTATATCTTGGTAAGTATATCTCAACATTAGTTACTGAGTATATCTTGGTAAGTACATCTCAACAGTAGTTACAGAGTATATCTTGGTAAGTATATATCAACAGTAGTTAATGAGTATATCTTGGTAAGTAAATCTAAACAGTAGTTATTGAGTATATCTTGGTAAGTATATCTCAACAGTAGTTACAGTGTATATCTAGGTAAGTATACATCAACAGTAGTTACTGAGTATATCTTGGTAAGTATATCTAAACAGTAGTTACAGAGTATATCTTGGTAAGTATATCTAAACAGTAGTTACTGAGTATATCTTGGTAAGTACATCTCAACAGTAGTTACAGAGTATATCTTGGTAAGTATTTCTCACCAGTAGTTACCGAGTATATCTTGGTAAGTATATCTAAACAGTAGTTACCGAGTATATCTTGGTAAGTATATTTAAACAGTAGTTACCGAGTATATCTTGGTATGTACATCTCAACAGTAGTTACAGAGTATATCTTGGTAAGTATATCTCAACAGTAGTTACTGAGTATATTTTGGTAAGTATATTTAAACAGTAGTTACTGAGTATATCTTGGTAAGTATATCTAAACAGTAGTTACTGAGTATATCTTGGTAAGTATATCTAAACAGTAGTTACTAAGCATATCTTGGTAAGTACATCTCAACAGTAGTTACTGAGTATATCTTGGTAAGTATAGTTCGTCTCAATTTGAACGTTTAAAAGTTAGACTTGACTTGTTGGTTCCCTTATCTCAAGGCACTATGTCAGCTATATAAATTTTTACCTAATTATTTAAATCTCGGATTCTGGGTTCATTTTAAGGAAGGCATAGTTTTTTTTATTACATTTTCAACGCATACAAGATCTTCAAACTTTCGCAATGATCCTCAAGAATCAGACAGGTTCGTAATTTTTTAAGAATTGTAATATGCTTATTAAGTTTGTTCCGATTAAAGAATGCACAAAATTTACTCTAACATTAGAGTTATGTACTGCCAAAGCAAAAATTAATAATAAAAACTCGGTCAAAACGTTTTGACAAAAGAAAGAAAACATTTAAAAGCAAACACAAAAAAACAACATTTTTAGAGAATGATATTTGTTTAAGTTTCTTTAAAAAATTCAGAAAATGTTTGAAAATGTGCTTTTTTGAATGAACTATTTGGATTTTTAGGCTTGTTGTCCGACTACTTGGGACGAAGAAAACTAATTTTAATCTCCAGTCTTATCCATATAATTGCTTCCTGGACAGCATACTTCAGCCAGCAATATGCAGTCTTTCTTATTGCAAGGTAGAGAGGGAGGATCAATTATAATCCTTGGTCAGTTTCTATTATTTAGTGCCCAGTTCTTAGTCATGGTCATTCTTTCGATGTTCAGTGTTTAATGTTTAAAAATCCATTTGTTGAGTGTTTGATATTTAAAAATCCATGAGTTCAGTGTTGAATTTTAAGTCAAAAATGCATGTTTAGCATTGAGTTACCATTATTATACAGAGTGTCCCATATCATATCATACAGGGTGTCCCACATTATATTATACAGGGTGGCTCACATTATATTATACAGGGTGTCCCACATTATATTATACAGGGTGTCCCACATTATATTATACAGGGTGTCCCACATTATATTATACAGGTTGTCCCCATCATATTAGATCGTTTATAGCTTTAAATTGAGATTTAAAGGACTAATCAGAAATTAAAAAAGAATGCATCATTTAAAAAAGTATAAGGTTAATATACATATTTTTTCGCAAAAACACTAGGTTTTCGAGTACTATTTGCGTATTTTGGCATTAAATTGCTTGGAAATAATCTAATATGATATGGACGCTCTGTAGAATATTTTGAAACAAACTATTTTCATTAAAATATTTAAGTGCTAATTTTTCTAATTATTTTTCAAATCTGTGATTAATGATTATTATCTAGTTGATATTTGATAAATGTGACTAGCGTTGTTATTTGAAGTATCATATTTTAAAATAAGAAAATATATCTTGGGTTTTCTATTTCAAAATGTATAATTTTCATTTACGGTTTCTCTTTTTAATTGTGGCTTGGAGGATTTGTGTAGAAGACAAGAAATTATACCTCGCTCATTGTTCCTCAGATAAACAAAGGCTGTACAATTTCCTGCTAGTGTATTATACACCTCAAACTGTAAATTAAACTAAAGAAAAAAGTTTTCTTTTTGTGAAGCTAATATTGAGAAGAAGAAAAATGTTTGAATTTCGTATAAGTAACTTAATTTACGAGGTCACAAAGTCAAACTAGTAATATCGCATGAATTTGACGTTCTTCTTCATGGATAATTTTCAGTTATCTTCACTGCATAAATAAAACTATTTATAACACTATCTTGGTTGTTATAAAGTTTTTGGACACAGATTTTCTCTTTATCGAGAAGGTTTCAGCCTTTTTAGATTTTAGGCGAGAACCTTTGAGGTACAGAGAAAATTTAAGTCCGAAAACTCGTGCCAATATTCCAGTGTTATAATTTTATGTAACGTTTTGTGTACTTGTCTTATTGCGATGACTTTTTCTAGATAAACTAAGCTTTTAAGAAAGCAGAAACAAAAATATAAAATTAATTTCAATTTTAGATCATTTGTATTAAAAAAACGATACCAATTAAAATGTTATGGCATGCACATGCTTTAATCTACAGCTAATATAACTTCATAGCACGAGGATTACTTTATAGCACGTTCATAATAAAATTCACCATGAAGTAAGGAAGAATGATAAAGTACACAATAGTTTCGTAAAGAATATGAAATTGTTGGTTCTTTGTACAGTAAACTTTTTAATATCTTTTTAATTTAATGTTTTTTAGAATGTTTCTTGGAGGAAGCATACACTCTGTTTGGGCAGGATTGTTTATTCTAGTTCAGGAAACCACCCCAGTACACTACAGGACATTTACCGGAGGAATTATGAACTTTGGTAATCTATCGTTTATTCTTTTAATCCTATTATGTTAGGGAAGGGAGGGGGGAGGGGGGGTATTTATTCTAGTTTGTAAATCTATCTTTAGGAAAACTGTAAAAAAATATTTGATTTAAAGCAAAACAAATAGTCTCTTTAAAATTTGTTATAAATCGAATTTTTTTCTTCGCCATTTTGTGTGCATTTACATAGAAAAGTGTAAACACAATTTCCTTTTCTCATTACAATTTTTGGTGAAATTTTGTCTATAGTTAAAGATGACATATCGTGCATATATGATATATAGTGCATATATGATAGTGCATATATGATATATCCACTATCCAGGTCGCATGTCTTAACTTATTGTAATCTATTTTTAATTTTTTGAATGTATATTTTGATATTCTAGGATGGAACGTGGGTGCTCTTATTCTTTGTGCTTTGGCCTATTTCATCAGGAAAAAATTTACTTTCTTTAAAAAATGAATGAAAGGAACTGAGTTTAAAAGTCAGAAATAATCAGAATTTAATCCATAGAACAGGAAAGCTTTTTAAAAATAATTAGTCACTAAGGAATTGGGTCTTTGTCCAAACTCGCAACTCAATGTCGTAAACCTAGGTATTTCAAACTTTAAAATCGGTTAGATCAAATAAACTAAGTTGGAAATATATCTAAGGTTAACGCCGTCAGGTTGCAAAAAAAAGTGTTAGAAAATTTAGAAAATTTTAGCTTGGAGCACATTCATAGCCAATTTCTTTTGAAAGTTGTATTTTCTTTTCGGGAAAGATTAAATATTTAAATAGACGATTTTTTTCAGCAAAAAAAATAGTTTAGATGCTGCTTTTAGCCTTTTTTACTTTTGATTTTTATTATCGAGAAAGATGAAATATTTTTGTTATATAACTCTATTTTCAATAATATCAAAATTCTTAAATGTTTATGTTGATAATTGCATTTTTTTGTACAGAGATTGGAGAAATTTGCAGCTCTCCTTCGCCATTTTCTCTTTAACCATGATTTCATACTTCTTCTTCGTTCCGGAATCTCCCAGGTTACATTTGTAATGATTATACCCTTAACTCATTTATCAGAGAAAGAATTAAAAAGATAAATCTTCCATTTTTATCTTGAGAAAAATAAGTTTTTTTTTCAATGTTCTTAATTTTTTACTTCTTGGCTGCGATAAATCCTAAATTCATTTTTAAAGGAAAAATGCATCTGGAAATTATCAATAAGGCCGGGTCGGACCCAAACTCTGGACTCAGGATTTTGTCTAGTCAGGACTCAGGAGTATGTCAGGACTCAGGAGTTTGTTATAGTCAGTGCTCAGGAGTTTGTTATAGTCAGGGCTCAGGAGTTTGTTATAGTCAGGGCTTAGGAGTTTGTTATGGTAAGGGCTCAGGAGTTTGTTATAGTCAGGACTCAGGAGTTTGTTATAGTCAGGGCTCAGGAGTTTGTTATAGTCAGGGCTCAGGAGTTTGTTATAGTAAGGGCTCAGGAGTTTGTTATAGTCAGGGCTCAGGAATTTGTTGTAGTCAGGACTCAGGAGTTTGTTATAGTCAGGACTCAGGAGTTTGTTGTAGTCAGGGCTCAGGAGTTTGTTGTAGTCAGGACTCAGGAGTTTGTTATAGTCAGGATTCAGGAGTTTGTTGTAGTCAGGACTCAGGAGTTTGTTGTAGTCAGGACTCAGGAGTTTGTTGTAAGTCAGGACTCAGGAGTTTGTTATAGTCTGGACTCAGGAGTTTGTTATAGTCAGGGCTCAGGAGTTTGTTGTAGTCACGATTCAGGAGTTTGTTGTAGTCAGGACTCAGGAGTTTGTATTTACACTTTTTTTTTGAGTTTGTCAGAGCGCCCCACTGTAAACTGGCCAATAGGAGAAGGTAAAATTCAATTGACTTTGCTGTTGCAGCTTTGTGATGTCGACTCGTTGCTCCTCTAGTTCTGATTTAAGCACAAGTGTAAGAAAGGCAAACATTTTGTGTTTCTCAATAGCTCTTCAATGAGAGGAGTTATGATAAAAATTGATAAGATTTAATCTTATTTTACTTTAGTTTGACGTGGCCCTAAGATAATATTCTAAACTCCCCAAAAAATGTTTTTTTTTACCATGTTTTCCAAGATGGTTGCTGTCCCGAGGACGGATTGAGGAGGCGAGGTCTGGGCTTATTAAAGTTGCGAGGATGAACAAGGTTCAGTTGGAAAACGAGATTCGCCATCTTGAGTTTAGCAATGACGACATTAAACCGAATGGAAACTTTAAAGAAGAGTTTTGGAAGCAATTATCTCAGTTTTCACAACTAGGTAAATGTTGCATTTTTTAATTCGACAAATTTAATTATTTAAGATAAAACCTAAACCATAAATCCTAGAAAACTAAGATAACATAAGAAAAATAAATATGAAAATCTTTCTGAAATTTACGAAATGAATTTAAAATGAAAAAAAAATCAGAAATTACGACTATTTTTTTCAGTGACATCTCCGCAATTGAGAACTAGAGTATTACTGTTAGCTCCAACATTCTTTGCTGTTGGAATGGGTTCCTACGGGATTCATTTTGCAGCTCGTCTAGCAGATCTCAACCTATTCGCTGTCACAGCTGTCAAAGAAATTGCCAACTTTTTAACCATCGTCATTCTTATTCCAATCTTTAAAAAGGTTATAAAGTGTCTTTCGAAATGCAATGAGAGCCAGAAAGTTGCGGAATGAATGTGGTTCTCTTCTTGAGAATGTAACGGCGGATTTCGTAATTTAAAATTGATGAGAAATGTTGAAGGTCCAGTGTTTTAGAAATAGATCATGTCTATTCTTCTGTTCACGTTTTTGTGAAAAGATTTCTTTTCTCGCCAGATTTGTTCGTTTTGTATTTTAGCGTATACATGCGAATCATGTGAATCAACAAGTTTGAAGGGACTGTACGCCTAATTTCAAGAGTGACCCGGTCCATGAACGATGGCAATGCCTGATTCACAACGGTCTGATCAATCATGAAATATATATCAATAAGAACACGTCCTTCTTTCTTCTTAACTTATTAACCATTCTTCGATTTACTTATTGTTGATCAGTATTGAAATACGTTTTTTTAACTTCTGAAAAATTACAGTTGAATATTTAAAGAAATTCACTAATGCTTCATATGAAAATATTCTTGCTTAACTTTAATGATTTCACAATAACGAAAATGTTTTAAAGCTCCGTAGGGCGGAGAACAAAGAGAATGCGGGCTGACATTATTTGGTTTGGTTTGTCTCCGAGAGGAGATTTTAAGTTGAAGACGACATTTCTCAGAGGTTTTAAAATTAATGGTTAACACACTTGTTGTGTCTTTAGTTCTTAGATAAAAAGATCTGAGTCAGAATTAAAAAAATTTAAGCCACGGCTCAAATTCTTTAAATTTGGTCTCTGATTACTCCTCTCAAACTTGAATTTTCGATATTAACTTTCGATAAACTTTGCAACCGGATAATGTAAATCTTTGAAATTTCAAACTTTGACTTTCAGATCTTCCTTAATTTAAAGTTTGAAATATCAAAGGTCTACGACATTAAGTTGTCAAGACAGATTGTAAAGAAATCGATTACTCGCATATGCCTCTGATTTAAGATAGTTAAAATATCTCAAGTTTGAACTATCACAGGTCTACGACATCAGTAGTTAGGAAATTTTAACTCCAGGCGAGTAATCAGATGTATTGCAAATTGTAATATTTAGGTCCAACGAACAAGATGTCTTGCTTTTACCTATTTTTTGGCAGGATTTGTAGCAATTCTTTTCTTATTAGTTCCTTCTCATGTAACAGGTATTCAAGGAATAAATATTTAACCCTATCTCTGCTGGGGTACTTGAAAACCAGGATATGCTGAGGGGGAGAGTCCATTTGACCCCACCTCTAAATCCCATGTTTGATGTCCAAATATGACAAATGATACAGCATTGGAAAGCTCTTATGCTCTACTTTTAGAATCTGCAAAAAAATTTGCAAATTTGCAAAA